CTGCCCTGCTGTCTGTCTGGGACACTCAGCTGCACTCTGTCATTACCGCCCTGCTGCTTCTGCCCTCTTTATTTGTTTTTTCCCTGAAATAAACAGGTCAGTATCAGTGTCCTGCAGACACTTTTGCAGGCACTCCCTTAAAACACACGCAGCAAAAGATAAATAATAAAGTGGCTTATTTTTGCTTTGCACGTCCACAAATGAAATTTCAAAGGGCATATTAAACAGTTTGTCTTGCAGAAAGCAGTTCCTGTGGTATCAGCGGCTGCCAATTACACAAATAATTAAATTCAGCCTAATACTGGAAAGACAGCGCTTCACAGCAGACTGAAAGGATTTGAAAGAGGGAGGCGGAGCAGAGACGAGCCTCGAGTCTGCGTTTAAACACTGTAACACTGTAAGTTATAGAAGGTTAAACTGCAAGCGAACCATGAAACACTCCACTCAGCCAGCGATGTGACAACATAAATAACACACTCCACAAAGCTGCCGTACTCCTGCAAACCACTTTGCAACCCACCTCAACCCCAGTTTCTCTAAGTGACTCGAATGTGATGTGAATTTCATACCTTTTGTGATGATATGATGACAAAAACATGTATATTTTGGATTTCAGTGTTACAGAAAGTCTGACTAAAGTATGCCTAATTACCCTAAAGCAAGACATATTAAGTGCACTGAATTAAAAATGAAGTAGCGTGAGCTCACTCACATTTCACACAGTTGCTGTGACTCATCCCAGATGCTATTTTTGTTATTTAAGTGTAGCTCACACAAAATAAATCTTTTATTTTAGGTCCTCTGTTACTTTTCTGTGTCAGTGAGTATTTACATAAAACTAACTAATCACACTTTGCAGTACAGAATCGTTTTCATATAAATGATTTTGCCTGTTTTGTATCTAATGTTTATAGTTATGTATTTTTACCAATTTTAAGACTGAAGGTAATCAACTGCCTTCATATTATGTTACATTACTCAGTTAATCCTGCTTTCTCCTTTAAAAATGTGATTTTTTGTTAAGTGATTGAAATTTAAAGTGTTGATTTTGCAACAAAAACTCTGCTCACAAATAAGATGCATGCATTTTGTATTTTTGTACTACGGGGCTTCCAGGTCCCACAATCTCAATTTCACTTTCAACACAAGTTTATTAAATTTATTGAGTAAATCTTAAAACACAAAAAGGGTCTCTAAACATTTAATCTTTAGCAAAGCATTTTCCTTTAAATAAATAATCAATAGCATAAATAGAACCGAAATAAACAGAAACACAGAAATTTAACCATGTTCTAAGGAAGTCAAATACAGGATCACAAAATCTATTCAAAAATGTAAATGTAACGTTGCCAAGTTCCCCAGTCTATTTCCCTGTATGCAGCATATAGACTGTGTAGATTAATAAACAAAGGTCACCCACTGTGTGCACTAACAAGCATCAGTCAGGCCGCTGCCTCTTTCACCTGCAGTATCTGCTTTAAATCGCTTTAGTCGCCATCTGTATGCACTGCAGTCCGGCGAGGACTGGCTCCATTTGGAGCACATCTATGCATGCTGCCAGCGGCTGTCTGCTGCCTATGAAAAATTAGTTTGAGGCCTTACCTGTCCTCTGCATCTCATGTACTGAGCAGTAGTCAGAAAGCAGCTTCCAGCTGAAGAGCACTTAAGTGTAGCCTAAAGGTTGTTTTGTGCTCTTGTACATAATGTACTTTGCTGAGCTCCACATACAGAAACACACACTCATTTTGGGCACAACCTCTATGTGCTGGACCCTACCAGTTCTTTTATAGTCACGCCTGTCTTTTTCTGCAGTAGACAGACTGTTTATAATCCAGGGGGTTTCCTGCTCTGCTGTAGACTTTTGTTCCAGCGCCTGCATCAATGCAGTGAACCCCGCTAATTGCTACACACTGTTATGAAGCCATATGCTTCGCTTAATCCTGCAGAGTGAGCACTGCCGTCTGAGGCACAGAACCCTGCGACTTATAAAAGAACTTCAACACACATAGGAGTTGGATGGGTGGGATGTTTGTCTCACTTCTAGGCTGGTCAGGTCGCCGCTGCTCCACTTTTATTACACCTTTAATGGTCCACCGACTACTTTGAAGTTCTGCTTGGCTTGTACTGGGCTGGGTTTAAGAACGGCCTTGATTCTTCATGGTATGGATTGAACAAGTTTCTTGGAAACATTTCTCCGGGTTTCTGGTGCTTATTGATATGATAGCATCGCACAGGGCACCACTTCCATGATGCGATTCTCCCATGACACCACCACCCTGATCTGGTGAGCGCAGAGGCCACTTTAGTACAACGAGCTCATTGTCATCGTCGAGAAACTAGACTGATGATGTGAGCTTTGTGATGTGGCACATTTTCCTGTTAAAGTGGCCGAGAACACTGTAGTCATGGAAAGATAAAAAGGAATGGACATGATTATGAACAGCACTGGCTAAAAATGATGCTCAATTGGCAGTAAGTGGCCCAAAGTGTGCCAAGACAATATCCCCCACACTAAGAAACCATCAACAGCGTTAAAGGTTCTCATCCTTTACGCTGTTCATGTTAAAGTATCGATATTGCAGCAGAAATCAAGACTCATGAGATCTTTTTATGCCCAGTTTTGTCCAGCTGCAGCTGTAGTTACCAGTTTTTAGCTGAGTCAATTGGTTCCAATGTGGGCTCCTGTTTCAAAGCTTTAACATGTTGTGCATTCAGAAATGCATCTGGTCATGCTTCTCTAAGCTATGTCACCGAATGAGACCTTTCCCCCCAGAGAACCACTTCTCACTTAAACCTATCTTCTTTCTCCATCCCTTTTTCTGTGTGCATAAAATCCCAACAGCTCACGAGTTTCTAAAAAGGTTAAATCAGCTCATCTGACACCGAGAGCTACGACACGTTCAAACTCCCCTAAATCGACTTTTCTTCCCCTTTTCGTGCTTTGAACTTCAGCAGGTCCTCTTGACCCACAAACAGAAGACAAAAAGACAGACAAGAGCTTTCAGGTCTGAAAATGAAGGATAAGCATCTTAAACCTGCAATCTTTTTCATGCCCAGTAGGGTCAACTGAACTGGTTCCCAGAAGAAATCCAGTTGTATTGAACTCAAGGTAAAAATGGTCCTGCTTCTTATTTGATTTTAATCCCAGTAAACACCCTCCTGACGAGCTTCTGTTTTCAGTTGCTAGAATAACTAACAATATAATGCTCTTCTTGTAGTTTATGGTCTCATACAGAGTGAAATAGACGACTGAATTGGGTATGGGAAGTTACAACCTTATGAATTCAATGCAGTTTATATTTATATAGAGCTACATCACAACAACAGTCCCCTCAAACCACTCTGTATTGTAAGGTACAATATTACAGAGAAAACCCCAACAATCAGACGATCCCCTAAAAGCAAGCATGTGGTGACAGTGGGAAGGAAAAACTCCCCTTTAACAGGAAGAAAGTGCATCAGTGCATCATGGGAAGCACCCAGTAGCCTAGGCCTATTGCAGCATAACTAAGGGAGGATTCAGGGTCACCTTGTCCAGCCCTAACTATATGCTTTAGCAAAAATGAGAGTTTTAAGCCTAATCTTAAAAATAGAGAGGGTGTTTGACTCCCGAGTCAAACCTGGAAGCTGGTTCCACGGAAGAGGGGCCTGAAAGCTGAAGGCTCTGCCTCCCATTCTACTTTTAAATACTCTAGGAACAACAAGTAGGCCTGCAGAGCGAGAGCGAAGTGCTCTAATAGGGGGATATGGTACTATGAGGTATTTAAGATAAGATGGGGCCTGATTAATCAAGACCGTGCATGTGAGGATGTGGATTTTAAATATTACAAATGCATTTCCTTTCTGTCATGTAATTGGCCGATTAGATATTATTTTAAGACGTAGTTCCAACTAATCTAGTGGCCGTAAGCACAATATTTAGGAGTGGATGCGCAGCGTCTTCAAGAAGAGAATATTCAGCCGCTATGTTAGCCAACACCAGTCATTTTAAATACACAGAGGTCAAGAAGTACAATAAAGCTCTAGTGTTACTCAGTACACAAACAGACTGACAAGTGAATTTATAAAGTCATCACTTGCAATAGGGGCTCAAACGTGGACCATTATTTGTCATTAGCATGGCCTCTTCTTATTCAAATGAGGCCCACCTGCTGTTTCCAGTGTAAGCACCAGTTCAGATGCTGCTGCGTACCTGCCCAAGCAGAACAATTATAGTAATTGGATAATAGGCTTGGTGTCAACTAGCTTTTATAAAAATAATTACAAGAGTTAAAGCTGAATTACTTGTTATGCCTTTGTGCAAATTCTACCTCCTGCAGCTCGGCCTGTACGCTACCCCTCGCTGTCTGCTCACAACTGGACCAGCCAGTTATATATCAGTGGAAGTATCAGCAAGCCACCGCCAGCCTCTACAGAATGATCTATCTGCAGCTCTCTCTGGCTTCTCTCTGTATTGCCCACACATTAGAGTGGGCTGTGCAAGTGAAACATTGTTGGATGTTGTAGTGCTACACTGCCCGAAGGAGAAAAAAACCATTAGAGGAGCAGTCGTGAAGCGAGCCTCGCAGTATGCAGGATAAAAGAAGAACACTGGGAGTCGTGTCACACTGATTGTGATGTTGAAACCTTAACTATCACACGGCCACCAGTATCATGTCACTGGAGAGCCAGGGTCACACACAGATCCAAACACACACACGCTGTGTTCCCTCCCTCTCTCTGTGCTGCAGTGTACAGAGACAGGGGTTTGAAGATGCGCTGCCACTCTCCAATCACACCACTAATCTTCTCGGATACACCCCGATGCATGCAAACCCCTGTCTCCCAGAAGACTCACACATGCAGCCTTCACACATCACCATCATCTCAGCGGTGAACAGCTCCTATGCGAGAGAAAGCTTTTGCCCATGGCTGAACACGGGCATCTATAGGGGAGGGTTTCAACAGAAATCCACAGCTGTGTTCTCATCTCTGCAGTGGGAGAGAACCGACTGTCTTACTTGCTTTCCCTGGCCGGGGCCTCTGCAGCAGCTTCTGCACGGTGAGCAGGTCCTCGGTCTTCACCGCCTGCAGCAGTTCCTGGTCCTTTCCCATCTTCCGCGCTCGGCCGCTCTATTCCAGCATCCTCCGATACAGAGGCGCCTCGCCACGCGGAGGGTACGTCTACACCCCGGCCACGAAAAGCCTCCTTCCTCCCACCCCCCCAGGTCCCTGGCTTGATGAGACCCCCCCTCCTCTCTCCCCTAGAGCTCCGGCATAGCACGGGTCCAGAGGGGCTGAAAGCGAGAGAGAGAGGGGGGAGAGAAAGAGGGGAGGGGGGTGGGGATAGGCTGGGTGGGATGGAGGGATGCTCTCGGGTTCTCCCACGGCTACGTGCAGCGCTGCTGAATGGAGACGGGACCGGAGGCTAACGGGCCGCTCGAGATCCCAGCAGCCGCGCGGCGGCGTCGCGTGCGTCGTATTTTGGCGGAGCGGATGAGTGGTGGGGGTTCCAGGATTCGCCTCACCGGCTCCTCGGTCTCACCCCCGCTGCAGCTGCCCTCGATATTAAACGATTAACCGACGGTCACCGGGAGGAAGGAGTCAAACGGAGAAGCCTCGCAGGCTCAGACACACTGCGCGTAAATGGTTGTGCGTTTGAAGGCGGGTGCGCGCCTGTTCGTATCTGCCGAGGATGTGCCGCTCGTGTGCTTTACGTCGTAAACGCAGCCCAGCGGTGACGCGGCTGCAGCCACAGCTCCGCGTGCGCTCGCTATTTGGTAATGATTTTCTCCGAGTGGGGTGGGTGGGTGGGTAGGGGTGTGCAGAGGTAGTGAAGGGGGGCACGTGCACGTGCCCGCGCGCTCTACAGCTGGGCCAGCTCGCACTGCTAAATGGCTCGTGCTGAAAGTTGTGGGCGGACCAGGAGCGCGGTGCTCTCCCGCCTCCTCCTCGTCTCTCTCTCTGGCCCTGTTTCTGTGGCAGAGGCTGCAGAGATTTATTGAGGAAGACACAGAGAGAGTGGAGGTGTGCCACGCCTTTCTGCTTATTGGCGCGATGAAGTCTTATCAGACTACACACCTGCATTCTAGCCTAAGAGTTAGACTGGATTCAAAGCTGCACGACACAAACAATTTCAGATTTGTATTAAAACTTACCTTCTTTTTTACATAGATGTTTAAGGCCTCAAGGCAAGGCAAGTATCACTAATAAACTTGGCATTGGTATTGGATAAACACTACTAGGATCAGCACTTTGTTCATTTAACCCACTATACTGTGTTACATAAAACATTTTTTGAGGAAATTAAACCCCCACCCATATAGCTCCATATACCAATGGCATTCCATCAGGGCAAGCAAGGCAATCAGTGCTTACCTTGTCAAATCCAAAAATAGACATAGCTGTCATAAAGCTCCTAGCTGATTACTTTTCTGCCATCTTGTGACTGGAGTGAGTTATTGTTGCTGAAAGCTCCACTTGTTTTGTGCTCATAGGAAACTTAAGTTGTCTCCATTTTACCCGCACGTCCATTTCCCGTTACTTGAGCTGATCAAGCTGAGAAGCTAGACACTTCTTTCTGGTGGTTTGCACATTGTGAATAAGCAACTGCTCTTTCATGGTAAACTGATGGGAGACCAGCTTGTTGCTGCTGTCTCTACTTTCACTGCTCTGAGACGACTTACAGTCTGCACTTTGTGTGTAAGCACAGCTAACATTAGCAGGCAAACAAGCTTCTGTGATTTATCATCATAATAAATAAGTTTCCTCTTGCTAACCGCTATGTGTGGTTTAGAGAAGATGGAGTGTGAAAAAGTTGTTGATAACTTGTTTAGTACGTTAGCAAGAAAAACTGTGATGATGATGGAATGATACATGGTCAGAGGGGATGGCAGCTCTGACCATGTATCACGACTAAAACAGGCAAGTTGAGCAGGTGCTCGGCAGCACCTTCAGATTAGCATCTATGAGAATCTCTGAATGTTTGGCCATCGCTTCATTTTCACCTTTATCTTTTTTCCATTAATATTTTTAATCGTTGTGTAAATATCGATAGGTAACTAAGTCACACACTGCTCAAGTCTTTTAATTCAGATGTTTTTTTAATGTTAATAATATGTATAAATATACTTTTATAAAATCAAGATATAGGCGTGTGTTTGTGATCTTATGAACAACTATTTAAACTTAGAGGAAAATACATACACATGCTTTCAGCTAATGCCAAGAGTAATATTAACCAAATGCTAAAATGCTAGAAATTTCTAATCAGCACCAAAACCACAAATGCAGCTGATGTTTGGCATTACTGCTCATTGGAGATCTCATCAAAGACAAAGCCCACAGTCCTTGTTCAGTGCAAAAATCTGGACAATAATCTGGTGCTACGTGGGGCTTCACTAGTCTGAGTTTGTCAAGTCACATGAGTATCTTACATAATTTCTCTAAAAAAAACACACAGTAAGAAGATATTGCTTAATTTAGTGAATTCAGTAGGCTGAGGCTAACCTTGGATGAACTTCCCGACATTTTTGTAGGAATGCCAACAAAAGGGGACCAACGTTTGGGACAAGTAGCAGACCAATAAATGACAAGGATAGCTAGAAGACATTCACACAAACCTACCTCTACTTTTAATAAAGAAAATAGTTTTTTAAATATCTCACAGGTGAAAGAATTTCAGAAAAGCCATCAAAGCAGTTATATTTTTACTACAAAGCCATAAGTGTCTCACATTGATGCTTTTTAAACAATGGCTCACATGTTAAAAGCAGGAGTAAGATTGTAAAGATCTGCTAACCGTTGTCATTATGAGCATTAGCTCAAATACTACAAATATGATTTTACTACCTCCAGCAAGTTAGTTTAGCTTAGCATAGCTTACAGGATCTTCCATCCATCCATCCATCCATCCATTCATTCATATTCTTCTGCTTATCCAAATCAGCATTGGGGGGCGGAGCCTGTCCGAGCTGTCAGGAGGCAGCTACACCCTGGATAGACGGCCAACACAGAGAGAAGACAACTTTTTATGCTCACATTCACGCCTACATGACTGTCTTGCTCTGAGGCTGACCGACCCAAAACTGTGCCACACCACTGAAGCTTGTTAATTTAATTAAAAATTACTTATTGATTAGAACTTATTGATTTCATTGGGGTGGCACGGGAATTCAGATTCTTTGATCAGAAGTAAATGTGGTGAACAAAAACACTGGGCACAATTTTTCAGCTCCTTCTTTCCTCATACAAATATATGAAATATGACATGAAATTCACCGTCCAAAGACATGCAGCTTGTGGGGATAGGTTAACTGGATAATCCAAATTGCCACTAGGTGTGAATGTGCGAATGAATGTGAGTGTGAATGGTTGTCTGTCCCTGTGTGTTGGCCCTGCGACAGACTGGCGACCTGTCCAGGGTGTACCCCGCCTCTCGCCCTATGACAGCTGGGATAGGCTCCAGCACCCCCCGCGACCCTGAAAAGGATAAGCGGAAGCGAATGGATGGATGGATGGACATGAAATAGGCTTTGCACTGAGCAGCCTAACTGCTTTGCAAAGTACAGAAATGGGTATTTACACCCTTTAAGTAGAAGTAGTACTTGTACTTTGAAATGTTTTAGCTTTGACATGCACTTCAATTATGCAGAATTAAGTGCATGAAGTTTAATGGATCATAACATTTGATTTATTAACATGTACATCAATTTGATATTATAGGTGGGAGTTATTTTGATTACTAATATGCTGCTGGGTAGTTTTGTCTTTAACAACATCTGTTAGCCGCACATATAGCCTTCAAACAATGGTGTTGTCATCCAAAGTACAGTGGTGCTGAAATGGGAAGCAGCAGAAACAGAGAAATACTTGAACAAATTAGAAGCACAGGGAAGCTGTAATTCAGTACTTGGCTAATTGTACTGTTACTTTCTATCCGAGGCTTCTCTATAAGATCAGGCCTGTTTGTGTTAAAACTTGTGTTGCCAAAAATCATTGTGATCTTTGGGATAATCACTCGTACACATGCAGCATGTGCTGCGGTCATGAAGACAATTAGAGAGCACACACACTGCAGAATTTGACCCTGACTTCCAACTGCAAAATCTAATGTTTTCTTTCCCTCTCCACCCTCCTCCACGTTTTTTATTTCACTTTTTTCTCCATTGTGTGTGTGTGTGTGTGTGTGTGTGTGTGTGTGTGTGGGCAGTGAGCAGTACTTGGATGCTGCTCTCTTCCTCCTCCACATAACCAGCGAGTTATGTAAGAACTCTAAAGAGTAGCCCGTATGGTACCGGTAGAGTATTTATAAATATGCCTCTGTCAATGCAAAAGAACCACACTACCCCAGAGGTGTGTTAATGCTAATGCCTGCTGCATAGAAGCTTACTTAGAGAGTGCTTACCTGCAGCCCCTCCCCTGTTTCTATTTGCATATCTCCTGTTATTGCTAAGTGCAGAGGCTTTCAGAAGTGGATTCAATATATGTACACTGGACACTCATGAGCCACTTGTCTCAGAGACAAGTGGCTCATGCCTTTCTTGTTATATCTTTGAGCACGTGTTGACACTTTTCACTTGACACTTTAGTGAAATTCACATTCACAACAAAGAATGAGAAAAAGGGAGAAAAACAAGAGTTTTTTTCCACTGAAATAAATATCTTCAAACTACATTTGATTTGTCTGTACTCATCTACCTGTCTGGGTCACATGAATAAGGGTTAAATTATAGGGGGAAAATGTAGTAATTCTAATTAGGCAGCAGGACTGTTTTACATCATGAAATCGTGTTTATTTAAAGCTTGAAAGTCACTTCATGTAGCATGTGCTGGAGCTGGGAGTGTTCGTGTGAAGCTTCCATAAAAACAGAGTGCCCTCAAGTGGCCGGTCCAAGAGCACACACCTTTATTGGGTAGTCTTTGAACCTCTGTTTCCCAGAGATGTGTGATGGATAAAAGCATTGGGGATTTTACACCTAGTTTTATGTAGAAAGTGGTTAATATATGAGTAAATATATAAGTATATGGTTGGCTTCGTTAGTAATTTGTACCTGTGTATAGTTATCATAAAGACCTAAAGAAAAGGGGCAAATCACATTATAAAACACTTGTGACCGAGCAGCCATTGCTATTGCTCAGTGTTTTGAAAATCATGTGTCACTACGACAGCAGTACAGGTTGAGTTCAACATCTTCAGGAAATTCTGAAAATTAGCCAACCTCAGTTGTAGGCAATTTGAAACAAGATTTAGCGAATAAACATGAAGGAGAAATACAACATATTAATAAACCTCGCTGAAAAATGTATTCCGTTTAGCATTTTACATGTAATTGCGACTAATGATAAAAAAAATCGCTTGTCTCCAATAACTCGTCTTGTCTACGGGTTTTAAATGTAATATTTTTCAGAGTACTTGAATGCAGCCTAAGGCCGACCCTTTAGAATTTTCTAGTCTTTGATTGGTTGAGTCATACGTCCGTCAAAACCGAATCTCACAGTCTGTTCGAGTCAGGGGAACAGGTTGGAAAGAGCCCGACGGAGGCTCGTACAATCAAATACTGTTGGTTGCAGGTTGTAACCGGATCTAACACACAAGCTGGTGAGGAGTCGTGTTAGTTTTGCTTCATTTATTGGATTAAAAAAAAAAAAAGGTTGTGTTTTCTGCCTACCGTACAGACAGGCTTGCTTTCCGACGCGTGAAGAATCAACTCGCGCAGTCAGGAGCTTTGGCTTGCCATTATGTGTTGAGCTATCGCGTTAGTACTTATGGTAACACAGGCTAGCCTAAAGCTATATCATGATGTTACAGCTATACATTTTGGTGGTAGCTGGGGTTGAATGGGCTGTTATTCCTCTACTTTATTGTGTATAATAGTCATGCAGACACAGTTTCACCACGCAGCTTGACTTCTTAACGTATTCATTCCAGAATAACAAATGGCATCATGCACTGTGAAATCCGACTAGCTTAGCAACACGACGAAGCTAATGTCGTGACTGTTTGTACTGTTTATACCACCTATTACATGCTATAGAGGGACCTTATTAAACGTCGTGCACCTCTCAAAACAGTGTTTTGTATTTAAATAAATGGTTAATACAGTGGTCGCATACATTTGGGTTTGTATTGACACTTCATTGTTTCCCAGTCTCTTTGCTTTCTCTATTGTTCTACAGTTGTAATATGCATGCACATGCAAACCTGTTTAATAAAAGCCTTTCCTGCTGCATATACTCCAAACTATAACCTTTTTTTGTTTCTAATGCATATGCAAGTCCTTTTATTCAGCAAGACAGACGTGTAAGGCACTGTGAAGAGAAGCATGAATTTTTAAGCTAAAAGTGGCATCTGAGTAGATGTGGATAGTGTTGTGTTTAAAAAAAAAAAGATAAGGAGCCCCCCCATAATAAAAGCTTATTCCCTTTTTGTTTAATTCTTACCTTAAAAAGAAAATATATTTATCATATTTTAACATAAACAAAGACAAGCAAATAAAATGAACAACAAACCACCTGTCCCAGTCCCACGCGTGGTAATCTGATACTCAAATTTAAATCAATTCAAAGTACACACAAAAAACTGCATGGTTACCATTTACTGTCCTAAATGCTGCTGCAGCCACCACATTGGCCACATATTTCTCTTTCTCCTGGGCTGTTTGCCATTGTTTGTTTTATCCAGTGAGTGGGACACTGGGTCTTTTTCTGTTTATTTTTCTTCCTTCTTTAATAATTGTGTTTTGGGGAACCAAAATTTTGAAATCATTAAATGTTACTTTGTTACATAATGTTAGTCTTCTAGACTTTGTACATTTAGATGTTTGGTATATTTTTATTGAAATGGTTTAACTTGGCGGGAGTTGCATATATTTGGATCATAGTTGTTATAAAACATGGATGCAACTTCTGTGATGTCAGCCATTGGTTTCTGAAGTCCTGTTCTTGAGATGCGTGTTGGTTGTAAAACAAAAACAAACAAAACCAAGCAGACTGTATGGATGAAAGCACTTGCTCATTGGCTAATGATTTGGAGCGGCCGTGGTTTGGGGGGTAGATCGTTGTCTACCAGTCGCTACCAAGTCTGGATGTCAAAATATCCTTGGGCAAGATAATGAACCCCCAGTTGCTTCCAGTGCAACTACTGGAGTGTGAGTATGTGTGCACATATGGCCGGCTGCAACCGGTTCAGATTGCCCCCCCGCCTGCTTCTGCCAGAGGTTTCTTCCTGTTAAAAGGGAGTTTTTCCTTCCCACTGTCGCCAAAGTGCTTGCTCATAGGGGGTCATGTGAGTGTTGGGGTTTTTCTCTAAATGTATTATTGTAGGGTCTACCTTACAATATAAAACGCCTTGAGGCGACTTGTTGTGATTTGGCGCTGTACAAATAAATTGAATTGAATTGCACATGTGAGACAGGCATAGAAAAAGGACCTTTGTGTGACTGGGTAAACGGGGCTTGCATTGCAAAGCTGTGGTATCTGCTTTCTGCAGGATCACATGATTCTTTGTGAGAGCCAATGTTGTTTTAACCAATATGCATTTTATTCATGATATTGTGGAAAAAAGGATTCTACCATGAATCCTACAGTGCTGTCGCTCAGTGGTGGAGGCTGCTGTTACCAGAAACGTGTTTAAATCCGTGAACATTAGTTTGCAGAGTGAGTGTCAGACTTCAGTAATTGTGAGAGTGGTGATTGCTGTGCATTGAAACTAAGCACTGTTCTCGATCATTTAAAAAGAGGGAAGTCTGGCAGTGACCACTAAACCATTTAGAAGAAAAATGGTTCCTGGACTTGACATCAGTAAAACGACAACGTTTTAGTTTTAAATCTAGGATTTATTCCATTATTTTTTCTGTCTATTTTTAATTTTCCTTGAGATTTCATAAAAAGTTTACATGTTAAGCTTGTAATCAATGTTACAAACTGAGGTGTTAAATGATGTTGCAGTCTTAAGTTTACAGGTGGCATTTTGACTGTACGTCTTTAAGGACTAAACCAAATCTGTTTCCTGTTTCCATTTTTTGGAGGACCTTTTTTTAAAGGAAGTAACCGCCCTCCTCTTTTGTTACAGGAAGGGCTCAGTGCAGCGTGGGTGCCCAGGGATCCACTGCCTGAGTGTGGGGAGAGCAGCGGCCGAGACCCCAGAGACATGAACCACACCAAGGGTGGCCTGGTCATCTTCACCGCCAACTCGCACCCCTCGAGCCGTGAGCTGGGCAAGAGGATTGCAGAGTAAGTTCTTAGACATGCACTCAGACACACAAAGCAAGACGGGTTATTTTAGAGTCAAAGCCCATACACGTCCTCCAGGAGAATCTCGGTCTCCTTTCTTTTGTCTCATATGGTAAAAAAGGGACATTTAAACTCACATGTGTCAAGAAGACATGTTTTGCTCTTGCTTCTTCTGTTTAACATGTGTGTTTATTGATAGCATGAGCCTACATACGCAGTCCTTATGTGCTGTCTTTTCTGTTTTTAGCCACCTTCCCGAAACAACAGGATGATTGTCCTGCCCACCTTCCCTGTCACCAGCTCATCAAATACGCTTAACTCCCATCATTGCATAAACCTTTAAAAAAGGAACCGTTTTCTAATTAAAAGGGAGATAAAAGACTCAAAAGACAGCTGTCTGCAGAGCTAAACTAATAATGGGTAAAGGGTGTGTAGCCTCATTTTAACAGAACGTGTGTGGTTGCTTTGTTAGTGTTTCATCATGTTCTGTGTAAACCGAAAATTCCTACAGTCCAAACGTACTTTAAATGCACAGAGTCCAAACCTGGACTGCACAAGGACATCTGAGTCTGCATGTGTTTATAGAACAAACAGTGTTTGGCTGCTTTAGTGGACACTAAATACCTCACTGTGCACCAGGATGTAAACACTGCTTCTTATTGCATTTCCAAATGAATAGTACATTTTTTAAATGTTATACATATATTTGGTTGTGGGTTGTTTTTTAAAAAATTCATTTTTTTGTTTCAACTTTAAACAAACTTATTTACTGTTATTTTGTCATTTTCTTTCTCAGGCGTTTAGGGGTGGAGCTTGGCAAGGTGCAGGTGTACCAGGAAGCTAACAGAGGTAAGCTCATATAATAATACATGCTACAAGATTCTTTAAAAACAATCATTTAGTGTCTTCCTAGTTTAAAGCTGTAGCAGCTAGAAAATGCTTAAATGAAAAGATTCTATATGGAAATAGCTCTGCGAGTAATGAATGCTGAGAATGAGGTTCCAGTGAAAACCTCTATAAAGGCAGAGTACAGGAGTTATAGAGTTGGACACGCATCATCTGCATAAAAAAGAATATTATATGTAGCTCACTGCTTTGTCGATTAACAAAAATTATATCTGCAACTGTTTTGGAACAAAATTAATTCTCTGGGCTTTTGACAATTAGATGACCAGGTAAAAATGGGCGGTGGACATTGATGTGATGGACAACAACAACCTAAATGAAAATACATGGCAGAGTAATAAGTGCTGGGGAATGCTGTTAGCTGCGGCTGTAATTCCAAATACATGAAGCTTACAGCCTTCTGGTGCCGTCTCGGCTCTATCACACAAACCTCATCCGAACTAAAGCGGACGAGATCGTGTAAATTGCAAACTGAAAAATGATTTCTAGTTTTACTGTGTTTGTCATCAGGTTACCTTAACTTCAAAGTTAAAGCTTCATGTTCTTTGAATTCTTTCAAGTCTGTTGTAAAATGTATGATATGTAGTGTCGTGACATTTTTTATTAGTATTATTCAATCCTTCTCACCCACCAACAGTTAGTACTGCCATCCTATATTTAATATCTCAAACGTTTAGAAACAAAGTCTTTGATTTTTGTACAAAAACTTCCTTTAATCAGCTGCAAGTCACACGATTTAGGTTTCTTGAAAAAAAATGTTCCCCTTAAAAAGTGACAAATTTTTATGGAACATACTATATAAGTGTTTCTGCTTGTATTTGTGGAGTTTTCTCCTTGTACATTTAATAAAATGCTTCAAAAGTGTAGGTTTAAATTTATCGTTGAGCTTGTGAGAGCGTTTAAAGCAGAAACTGAAACACTTCTTGTTCCCCTTTCATGACAGCAGTGCTAGACACAAGGTCACCGTTTCAACTGAGTCTGTTCCTGTTGCAAATAAATTTCCTCTTAGAAGATCACAACCGTCCACTGGGCTTGTACTGGGCTTGTACTGGGCCATGACTGTGCTGACTTTTAAAAGTTTCTAAGCAGTAGAACGCGAAGCATTTCGCATTATTCACCACTGGACAGTTTCTCTCATTACTGGTGTTTGGGAACAGAGATGGGCAGTAACGCGTTACTTGTAACGCGTTACTGTAATCCGATTACTTTTTTCAAGTAACTAGTAAAGTAAGGGATTACTATTGCAAAAACGGTAATTAGATCACCGTTACTTTCCCGTAGGAACGCTGCGTTACTGCGTTACTAAAACCGTGATTTTTTTGCGAGAATGTCTCATGACAGTGACGTAAGCGAGTGCGCCGTTCGTGACAACAGCTGTGTGCAGATCAACAATGGATCACATATCGAGTGCAGAGAGAGTATGAGCGTGCAGCGTTTAAAGCGTGGAAGTACTGACCTTACTTTGAGTTTGATTCCATAAAAAGTGACAAAAACATTAGTGTCCGCTGTGCGTGGGAAGAAAACTTCTTTTTACAGCGAAAAAACCCCTAAACTTCCAACAAGCACCGAGTAGCTACCACGTAATGGGAAACTCACAGAGAAAGTCGCGGATTCTTCCACTGACCGCGGCACACCTGCACCAGGGTAAACCTCCGCCTGCCCCACTCCTGCTTTACAGGTGAAAATAGAGCAACAGGACCGCTGAGTCTTTGACTTTATTTATTTTCTGCTGTGTTTTACTTGCATCTATTTGAAAGACTGAGTGTAAACACAAAAAATATTTTATTTTATGTGCTGGAATGTGCAGAAAATAGGTTTAAATGTTAAACTAATTTAATCACGTCAGAGAATGTTGCATATAATTAAATTTTTGCTTGATGCATAAAGTTAAAAGATTAAAACTGATAAAACAAGTTTTAAAAAAGAGACTTTTCCATTTGATTACATTTTGTATGATGGATTATGCAGAAAAAGTAGAATTGGGCTGAAAGATCTATCGCTTTATCACCTATTCAGGTTGTAAATCGTGTTTTTAAAAAGTAACTAAGTAACTAAGTAATTAATTACTTTTGAAAATAAGTAATCAGTAAAGTAACGGGATTACTTTTTGGGGGAAGTAATCAGTAATTATTACTGATTACTTTTTTCAAGTAACTTGACCAACACTGTTTGGGAATGGGTTTGACAGGGTTCGTACGGGTGCTTGAAATCCTTGAAAATGCATAATTGAATTTTCAAGGATTTGAAAAGTGCTTGAATTTCAGATGTGGTGCTTAAAAGTGCTTGAAAGTGTAGCTGTATTTCATTCACCACAAATAACTATCTGATTGAATAGTTTTCTTATCAGATATAAAAATAAAATGAGTCACAAAATGTAAAAGAAAAATTTCCCCGCCTGGCTGCCTTACGTCTGTTTCAACGTGTGACCCCGCCCCTCCCTCGGACAGTCGGGGATGAGTGCGCTAACATACCTGTAGGCTGCTGTTTTAATGAGTGTTTGATGGAAAACAACAATGGCAGAGTTTGCGCTCTCCAGCATGATAGGTGAGTCCTAGTAAATAATTTTCCAGTACGTGTACGTTACACATGCTATTTTTTAAAATTATGATTATTATTATTTTGCTATCAAACTCGCTGGAGAAATGATTGAAACGCACTGCGTGTGATGCAGTATGGCAGCGCTGTTATGGAATATGCTGTGAACTTAGCTAACGTTACTTAACATTAGCCCGATGCATAACTAGCTAACTTAGGCTTTCTGATTAACCCTCGGGTTGACGGAGCCAAAGTCTCCATTTCAACTTGGGTCAACGTGCGGACTTCAAACTACATACCAGTGTTTAAACTGTGTTGATAGGCCACGTAAAACCGGTGTTTGTTTGTTTTTTTCTGAATAAAACAGCTGTTTACTCCGGAAGAAACGATAAAAACAGCGTTTTCTAAGGAGAGCGCTAGCAAACACGCTTTGCTTCTGAGTGAAAAAAGAAAAGGAAAAAACACTCCTTCCCTATTGGTGGAAAAATGTACCATGTCGACCAATCAAAAAATGATATGGCAACATGTGGCATCTGGTTGTTTGGGAGGAGACGGAAGCTTTAGGAGTGACAGAGAGCGAGAGAGCGAGAGTTTTGATACTGAGAGGTTTGTGACGTTTGCCGTGTTTGGAGTCTCAGGTTAGTGTGTTGTCTTGTGTAGTTAGTGTGTAGTCGTTGTTTTGTTTTGTGTGTCAGTTCTACTAGTGAACAGTTGCTGCCTTAAAGCCACCAAAGGCAGACTGCAGTGTAAACGCTGAGTGACACAGCTGCTGTCAGACCTGCAGGTTTATCCCTGAGCTGTTCTCATGTGTTATAGTGACACAAACTATTTTTTGGAGTTGCATAAATAATTTCTGTGCCTTCTTATTTGATGCAGAACACTTGATTGTTCTATATAACCACATAACTTTGTTGTTTGCAAAACTTGTGCATATTTTTTAAAAATGTAAAATTTCTATTTTCATTTCAAGTTATGAAAATGATTCGTTAAACATGTTTGTGGTTTTTACAGTCAAAAATATCACTTTCTACTCGTATTTTACATTTTGTCTGAATTTAGATAAATTGTGCTGACACATTATGTCAAAATGAGAAAATAACAGATTGGCAAGATAAACAGTTTTTAAAGGTGAAATATAGAGGCCAAATCAAAAGTAGTCAAAAACAGCCAGCTTTTTGGAGTATTTGAAATAATGGTAATATGAGTGATCCGTGTGGTTTTATTGGGAATTAACTTAAAAAACAAACAAATATCTGTCTCCTATTTCTTGTCACACAGGAAAGAAGCATCAATATCTGATGAGAAGACTTATTTATTTCTTTTTTGTTTTCCAACAGGAGAATCTAACAAGTTGATTTGTTCACATCTTAATTTTTAAGTGAAATGTGCATTTTGAGTTTATACACGATAAGGCGACCGTTTCCTTTTGCAGTATATTTGTGTTGTACGTTTTTCTATGTCTTAACAAAAGGGGAACAAAGGTGTTTAAGTTCACCTGGGATGATTTGTTTTAATGTTCACATGGTCTTACTGAGGTGATGCGAATTGAAGCATGCATTCTTTTTTTTTTTTTTTGGCGGGAGGGAGGGGGCTGGAAAAGCTTGAAAATGGACCTTGAAAGTGCTTAAAAAGTGCTTGAATTTGACCCTGAAAAGGCACTTGGTACTAACCAATAATACTAACCAATAAAGAAAGTGGCCCTGTGTCAAGTTGTTAGCCCAGCAAGAAAAGCTGAAGCTGTCACTCAAGTTATTCCCCCAGCTGCAACCTTTATGTCATTTATCCTTTTTATTTTTATAACAAACAAACTAATTACAAAACTTACAACATACAGCAGCCAGGTCAGCACATATCATACCAAAATAATAATATAAAAGAAATGCTTCATGTTTTTACATACGTCCTCAGAGGGAACAAAACCGTGACAAACAAAAAAAAGTGTTTCTCAGAATCTGCGTTCCTTCGTGGCGTCAGATCGTCCCTGCAAGAGAGTTTTCGGTATCGTCAGTTAGCCTGGCCAGCAGCATGTTCATATGAATCGCAGTCAGCCTTGTACCTGGATCGCTGTACTCTGGTGTTTGGAAATATTAGGCATTACTGTTGGTCCCCCAGTAGGCATATTCCTGGTGACACTGTTGTAACGTTGTAATCTTATTTTCCAAAATGGGAAAATGCATTTAGAGTCCCAGATTGTATAAAGCTTTCTGGTTCTGCTTGACATTTCCAGCATATGTTATTGGTAAGTAGAAACCTAGATGCAAGAAAGTAAAATCTGTGTACCATCTTATTTTCCTCTAGTTCTAACCATGATTTCTGTACATAAATCACCTGTATTGTGTTTTCCCTTTGTAAGCCATTGTTTCCAGTAAACAGTTTTCCCAACACAGACAGAAGGGTTGAACCATAATGAGGAATACGGCTGTTTAAAACGTGACACCATGTGCACCTCCCTCCATAAATGCATGGCGTTGAATTTATGGAGGGAGATATATTGCATATCTGAGGGCTGTGCTGTTGCCATTACTGCTGTCAGTGACCTGCAGCGGTCTGTGCTGCTACTGTACAACATGCTGTGTAGTGACGCAGCTAAACCCCTTTACAAGCTTTTTTTTAGTCCAGCATTAGGATACAATTGCAAATAACAATCTGTAGCTACTTTACTATGTTAGTTTCTTCTAATAATACTACTAATAATAAATAACTGCATCATGGGCATATTAAAAATGCAAATTCCATAACCTTAAATTTCCATATTTACTCAACTTACACTAATATATGGATCTAATGTTGAAACACGTTGCATTTTATTACCTCTTTTGTGACACATGATGGAGACCTGATTGTGTCCTTGAGACCTGTGTGTTTAAATGAAAGCACGAAGTACAAACATTAAGATGGACTGCTACACATTAAAATGACACATTATACGTAACAAATTAAGAAAACACGAGTAGTTGCAGACAGACTTGAAATATTGTAGCTTGTTCCATTTATACACAGCAAAGTATTTAATCCAGTTTTTCTCAGTTCAGCTGACAGTGTGGTAACAGTAACGGAGATTTAACGGTGTAATGGTTTAACATGTCCGGAGGGGTTGTGTTTCTTTCTCAGTGTGTAGTAGGGATATGTGTGACTCAGGAGTTGTTGCTGCTCTGGCTCATCAGCTCCTACAATGTTAACAAGCAAAGCTTTGACATAAATGAGCAGTTGTATGCGATTGTAGCAATGCTCAACCACGCTCTTCGTGGTCGGTGTAACATTTCTATGACCAGCCTTTGTGTTCTCGTTAGAATGTTTTTCTTACTTTTAGATTAGTCCACTACTCTTATTTTTCCTTCTCCTTAAAATGACCGATCGGTTGGTCATCAGCAGCAGACCTGGTCTGTATATAAAACGTGGGCGTAGCTCTCAGGTGTGGAAAGTATTTTGTTTTCTCATCTGTTTTTCCTGGGAAGCACATTTTTGGAATGCTAGTGTCTACGATTTAGGACAGTGAGGGTGGAGGTGGCTTTGTTAGGGGGCGTGTACCGGTGAGGCTCAGTGCATGTTTGTGTGCGCGCACATTCTCTCTCTGCTCTTTCCTTCTCACATCCGCTTTTTGTTTCCATAGAAACGCGGGTACAGATCCAAGAGTCGGTGCGAGGCAAAGATGTCTTTGTCATCCAAACGATGTCAAAGTAAGAGAGAAGACAAATATTTATTTGGACGTTTCCCCAGAAACGTGTCCCTCACGTGTAATCGTCTGCTTGTCTCTCTGCACTTCAGGGACGTGAACACCACCATAATGGAGATGCTGATCATGGTGTACGCATGCAGGACGTCCTGCGCCAAAAGCATCACGGGCGTTCTCCCCTACTTCCCCTACAGCAAGCAGTGTAAGATGAGGAAGAGGGGCTCCATCGTGTCCAAGCTTGTTGCATCAATGATGTGTAAAGCTGGTGAGACTGTCCCTTTAAAGCACTCAAGAAGAAGACAGGACACTATTCAATGTCACATATCGTAGTATTTCAAATACATGATCTGTACAAACCACAGACATGTTACAAGCTGACATGACCATGTTTGTGTAGGCCTCACCCACCTCATCACCATGGACCTCCATCAGAAAGAGATCCAAGGCTTCTTCAACATCCCAGTGGACAATTTGAGAGCCTCCCCGTTTCTGCTGCAATATATCCAGGAAGAGGTCATTTCTAAAAACAGATGTGACACACACGCCTCATTTCTATCACTTTTATTGTTTCTAGTCTTAACTTTAACAAATTTGATGCTTTTTTGATACTTTTCTACATTAGTTCATCTCTTGTGTGTCATTTTAGCTCCTCTCCCTTTAAGCTTACTTCTGATTGGCTGACTCGGGTGGGAGCAGGTGGGAGGGGCTTCTGTGCCCGAGATGGCCACGTTTTCCTTACTAATTTCATTCGTAAACAAAAGCCAGTCTGAAGGGATTAGCTGTATTTTCCTGACATCGTTCTTTGACACTTGCACCACATCTAGCATGAGCATCCACCCAGTTACAGTGTTCATATTAGCAAGGCTGTTTTGCTGACGTTAGGGGCTCTCTGCCTGCTATTACATAAAAAATCAGTTTAGTAAATGGGAACAAGGTCCAAAGCTACCTGGTCCAGTGTAATATTGCAGAGCACCATCACACCTGAAACACCATCACTTCTGCTGGAAGTAGCACATGGACAAAGGTCACCTTATACAACAAAGAAACTTGTTTTGAACTTTCTTTAAACAGACCAGTTTGTCCATTTTTATACTGGGATATTATTTAGGATGTAATTTAAATTTAGGAGTCTGTAACCTGCAGTACACACCTGCTAAACTATCTATCCAGGCATGCCTGCTGACACCTGGATATGAACATATATTAAACACGTAGAGAAACAAAGAAGCTTGATATTCTTGCTTGCTGAGTTCTGATTGGATAAGCTATTGTGTGCTTAACCGTATGTAACTCTGACCTCAGTTTTGTGTCTCCTCCCCCTCAGATCCCCGACTACCGAAACGCTGTGATTGTTGCCAAGTCGCCAGCTTCTGCCAAAAGGTAGGCTCATCTCCTCTCGTCTGTACGAAGTCGCCTTTATCTGTGTTACCATTGCTGATGAGGCCAGCTTGTTGCTCACTTCCTTTTTGTAGTGCTTTTATTTTTGTCACAGTGTGACATGAGTTCAGGCTGGTTTCTGTGTGTCTTGTATTGGAGTAAGTTGTGAAGCGCTGCTGACTTGGTGTGCGCAGGGCTCAGTCGTTCGCCGAGCGGCTGCGTCTGGGTATCGCAGTGATCCACGGAGAAGCTCAGGACGCCGAATCAGACCAAGTAGACGGCCGACATTCCCCACCCACCGTCAAGACCACCGGAGCCATTCACCCCAGCATGGAGATACCATGTAATGCACGCACACTTGCAAAGAACTCGTCACACGCAGGACTTTGTGCACCCCGTATGAATCACAGCAGGACTCACTGTCTGTGTTCCCTTCCAGTGTTGATCCCTAAAGAGAAGCCCCCCATCACTGTGGTGGGAGACGTCGGAGGACGCATCGCCATCATAGTGGTGAGAGATGACGCACAGTTTCCGAATTTTGGGATGTCAATGTAGACAATATGTCAAATCGACCCACTTGAAAATGCGTGTGAGTGAAAGTGGCTGCAGGAAACTGAGGCAGCACTTTGAGAAGTCGGTCAGCGGTACCTGCAGCCATAATGAGTTCACAGTAACAGTGAGAGGTAGTAGTTTGCTGAGAGGATGTAGCTGTGAGCTTCCTGACTCGTGGTGGCTGCTCCCTCCAATTAATCAACAGTCTAACAAAAAAGCCCCAAACGAACACGAACATGATCAGCATGAACTGCTGTGAGGAAAAGTCCTTTAATTACTTCAAAATGAAATCCACCCTTTCACTCGCTGAATCCTTTTTGAGGTGAACCAGCATTAGATGTAAGCACAGCGTTACCATTAGCAGTCATCTCGTTTTCACAAAGACTGAGAGGAAACTGTGAGAAAGCGAGTCTAGCCAATCAGGAGTCGTCTCTGTGGTGCAGTAGTTAGTATGAAAGTGTGTCACTTATAGATTTATTAGTCATAAGTGATTAGAAAACACACTCAAACACACCTGAATGGTGACTTTGCCCTAAACTAAAGTTTAAAGCATGTTGATCTCTGTCACACATTACACAGCTTCATTAATCTGTGTCTGTTTACTCATACCAGTCCCAGCACTCGACAAATACCCTGAAAACTCCTGCTATGAACACAGTTAGCCAAGTACAGTTACATTTTATATATATGTATATTTTAAACTGTCATGCATCAGTGCCTCAGCACACAATGCTGATCCTGTCCTTGTGTGACTGCTGGTTGGATCTCTCGGGGCAGAGGTGGGACAGCCTCCATGTTTCCCTCACAGAATATATTTCTATTAACCCTTTAGAGCCGGTCAGAGCAGCACGCTCCGTTTTGCATAACTATTTTTAAATCCCGGTAGCTCTGCAACCACGTAAGCTAGCGCAATAGTTTTATTTGCATATGAAACCGGAGGAGTTGTACTTACATCTGATGCCATCAGCTTGTCCTTGGTCACAGTTTCCTTCCACATATAGCTTTGCAAAAGCTGCATAAAAAGCAGCAACAAAAACATAATATTCCAGAAACACGCTTCGCCGATCCGATCAGCTGTTTGTAAGACTTCCTACGTCCATCAGCGCGAACTATCGCATGTCCGCCATGACCTGCCCGAAACCGGAAGTGACGTCATTTTGCGGAAATGTAGTTTTTTACCATCAGGGCCTCATGAGCCTATACTGGTGTTTTTAAAAGTTATCTTTGACTTTATGACTTCCTGTGTCGTTTCTGGGATGCTTCATATTGCACTGCTGGAAATAGTTTATTTTGATGCATATGCTGCTTTTTTGCAAATTTGCAGTATAATATTTATTTTCGTTTTTCCTGCAGTGTATAAAAATTGGTGTATTTCAAAAATAAAACTATGAAGGCACTCAAAATAAATTTCCTGTGGTGGGAAACTATTTTGTGCAACTTTTTTGTATTTACAGTTTTGAGGCATAAGCCTCTTAAATTTCTCTAACTAGAAATATATGTTAAAAAAATAAAATTTTATTTATTTTTTTTTGTAGTTTTTTGCAATTTATGTAATTACTATGCACTTAATGCATGCATATTATTAATATTTGGGCTATAATGGTTGTATTGATGTATAGCAACTTGAAATGCTCCTAAAAATGGCTCCACAGCATGTAAAACTATAATATAAGCTCTGGCAGACTTGGTTCTATGGTAGGTCTTAAAGGGTTAATGATTCTTGGAGTGCCAGCTCACTCACTCACAGGTCTTTCATACAAACATGAAGTTGAATTCAGTCACACTGGTAATCTGCAGAAATTGGCCTCTAAAGACTAGCAGGACAAAGAGGAGATAGCTGCACAGCTGTTACAGTAACATGTTTCCATAACGTAACATTAAATCTTGTGATTTTGCTCATTTTTGTCCTGTCGAACTGAACTGTCTGGGTGTGGGTCGACTCTTTCACTCAGTCAGAAAAGGAGGAATGTTGTTGAGTAATGTGGAAAATGATCCCGCTCCTCTGTGCCCTGAACGAGCAGTTTTGAAACCTTGGTATATATCAGTACAGACCGGGCTTGATGACCATTAGAACAGCTTCTGGGTGTTTTCCAAAGATTAGCCCCAGTAAGCTGCGTAGTCGCTAACTGACGCAAACTCAGACATTTTGTTCTATAAGCAGGTCTGAAGTATGAGGAACAAGCTTTACCTGCAGTAGGTGTCCCAGGTGGAAAACGCTCAGTGAGAATTAGATTCTTTTCTTTGTCATATTTCAGTAAACTGCAGTTCTGGATGGGTGTGAGTGTGCAAATCAGTTCTAAAACTGATCATTAATTGGAGCACTAGAAGATTTACTGAATGTAAGTTTCCGGAACAAATTACCGATGATGTTAACGTAAAAATAAAAGTTCAACATCCATATGGGAAGAACTGAGAGAGGAGGGTGAGCTAGGCAAAATTACTGCGCCGCATCAGGAACACCGAAAGGAGGTTGGGTGGGGCGGACTGTCCTCAGCACGTTTAAAACCATGCCCGTTTGTCCCCAGGATGACATCATCGATGATGTGGACAGCTTCGTGGCAGCAGCGGAGACGCTGAAGGAAAGAGGGGCCTACAAGATTTTTGTCATGGCGACACACGGCCTCCTCTCCTCAGACGCCCCCAGGTTCATAGAGGAGTCGGCAATCGATGAGGTGAGTCGTCGTTCTTAGGCTTCCGTCAGCATGGCCGCCGCCTCCTCACGTGTGTCATTGTCTCCAGGTGGTGGTGACCAACACGATTCCCCACGAACTCCAGAAGCTCCAGTGTCCAAAGATCAAGACGGTGGACATCAGCATGATCCTGTCAGAGGCCATCCGCCGCATCCACAACGAAGAGTCCATGTCCTACCTGTTCCGCAACATCGGAGTGGACGACTGAATAACCTGTCTCACTCTCTCTCACACACACACACACACACACACACACACACACACACACACACACACACACACACACACACACACACACACACTTTGCCTTCTCAGTCCTCTCCTGATACATAGATGAACGATGAGCGTAGTCAGCACCCTGAAGTGCTACCTCTATCATAACATACGAATATGAATGCTAACCTGTCCTTTGATTGCAGCTGAAGGATGCGGTGACTGAACACACACTCTCATGCATGCGTATCTAAGCACACCTAGTTTTGTTCATAGCTTTGACCAAACACACACTCTCTGATTAGTGTCCCCAGTGGATATTAAGGGATTACTGCCGAGCTCTCCGGTGGCTGCGCTCCACACGCCTCAGTTCCTTTTGTCTTGTATCTTTCCCCCATAGAAATGATGTCGAGGTTAAATCAGCTCATGTTAGCACTCGTTTGTTAGCACTGAATGTGTCTGATGTTATTAGTAAAGGAGATTGTACTGATAATGTCGGTGCCTTCCACAGGACACAACACACAGGCCTTCGCTGCTCTTTTACACCTCGCCCTCGTTAGCAACTCTGGAATATACGCTTCACAGCTAATGACCACATGTTGTGCATGTTCAAATCCAAATGTGTGTTTGATTATTTCTGTGGTGTCTGAATGTGCAACTAACACGGCTCATTTCGACTGGTCCCAGCAGCCATACGTCTGAGTGGATGCCATAGTGTTTAGATGTTAATCTGGTGTCAAATCTACTAAATGCTAATGTTGACCTGCGTTTAACAGGAAGTCTTTGGATCTTGATAATTGGATGTTCCATTTAATGACAGTAAGTCATCCATGTAAATGTGCCATCATCTCAATACTTAGTGTTGAATATTTGTTCGTGTCACAAATAAACACTCCCAGACTGAGGAGGGCTCTGGATGATTAAAACCTGATGCTCCAGTTCCAGATTTAAAGTGCAGTCAGTCTCTGGTTAGAAGTTTGAGGTTGTTCTTCATAAACTGGAAATCTTCCATTGTTAGATCCCTGTGAGGGAGACTGAAGAAGTTTGTTTCAACACATTGTCCAAGTTTAAATAAAACTTCAAACTGTGGCTAAAACAGGAAAAATGCATTTTTCTGACTAGCAAAACTTGACTGAAGCGGGTCTTTGTCACTTTATCAGATGCTCCCAAAATGTTTTGTATTTATTTTCTGGATTTAATATGAATAAAGATAACCTATGAAAGGAAAATGTCTTCTGCTGTGGTGGTTTGTAGCTTCATAACTGGGACCGTGTTTGCTTGAAAGCATGAAATGCTGTTTCCATATTAACCTCCCAGGACCTGGCGTCCACATATGTGGACATCATATTTTGGGACGTCGAGACCAAAATACGTAATTTTTTCTACAAGAGCCTGATATCCACCTACGAGGACATCATGCTGCCACTGTTCTACCAAAATTTGAAACAAATGTCCTCATATGTGGATCTCATTATTTTAGGTTAAAAAAAAATTGGTAATTCTTTGTTTTTACATTCTTTTGGTCCCAATTAACCCAAATAGCAAAGAAAAATTATAAATGCTGCCATGAAAGAGTTCAGGTCTTAGGAGGTTAATGTAGTAATATTACACTTAATGTCATTACTGTTTTATCTAAGTGGACTGGATGAAACCAAATGAGTCCGGACATATTGTTGAAATATCTGTTTAATGTAACTACAATCATATACTGTATTTAAAGGATGGAATATTGATGATGTCACCCATCGGTTTGTACAATGCTGCGAACTTTAAGTAGACATACAGATACTAGTGTTAAAAATAGTCCAGTAAAAGCTGAAGCACTGATTCAACCTCTTAAGTACAGGCTCTGAAATGTACCTGTGTGCAAAGCTAGCTGAACCTTGTGCTATTTTATGTAATAATAAAATAATATCAGTAGATATGAAAGCAAACTTTATTTCACTCAAATTTTTAATTCTAATAAAGGTACTTTGAATGAGTTAAGTCGAACATGAGCAGAAAAATGGAAAATCGCTCTGCTGTCTGACGCCTACGTCGCAGACCTGACTTTGCCTTTGAACGGAAATAAAGGGAAGAGGTCAAAGTGGATTCAGCAGGTGGGAACCCTAAAATCAGTCGATTTTCAGGAGATTTTCTTAATGTGCAAGCTGTGATCAGCTGATTTGGGCTACTACTGCTCTGAGGGTCACTGCTGTTTGTGGATTTACACAACTGAAATGAACAAGATGTCAGCAGATGTTTCCTGAGGCGTCCTGGCTGGTTTCCATCCTCTACACGATGTTTATGCTGTCTTTAAATTAGACAGAATAACGTTGGTCAGTATCATCAGCTTAACTTCACTTACACTTGATGCAACCTCACTCTGACCATGAAACCACTGTGCACCAGTCACACACTGCTCTTTACTTTAAACCCATCACAGTACAGAAAGTAACCTCTTTATCCTGCACTAACCTGCAGAGGACTTTCATGTTACCTTTGAATAGTCTCAGTTTGATTTGCTCCAGTTTGAGAATATGTCACATGTCACCCAATATCTGATTTAAAAACATGAGGACTTACATGTAAGCTTTAAATTTCCACTTAACAGTCCTTAAATCTAACCTCTTCTTCCTCTGCCCGTCTTTCTTTCTCCATCTCTGAGTGAAGTTAGCTCTCCTTCTTTTCTCTCCCTCTGAAATAGAGTAGCTGGACCTTCAGCTAGCATCACACTGTGACAAACTGCACACAAACTGTGTGTTTGGTGATGTTTCTTGTGCTGATAGAAAAGTTGCATTTGAATTGACCTGATACTCAAAAACATCACTCCCTTTATGATCACTCCTCTTTTGTAGCGCTAGCTACACTGATGAGTATCTGCAGGGTCAGTTAGGGCTCATCCAAGACGCTTCTTCATGAGGAAGTTGCACTGCTTGCAACCATTCAACAGGCCTCTCCTGCTTTGTCTACTTTGCTTGGGAGCCATAATTTTACATCATAAAACCACATTGTATTAAACTAGATGTGAAATTAGCAACTGAAAGTTTTAGGAAAGTGTTTACTAAGGTGATTAAAAACAAAATACTCATGATCACGTTCTCCACAGACTTCTATACAACTGCATGCGATTCTGCAACTATTCTGCTGGCCATTACCAAAAGTGCCTGTTTAAGGGGTTTCAACATGTTGGCTTCACTTTTCAGACTCTGAGGTAAAACAGCTTCATTGAAGCAGGGGGTGAATTGAGGTATTGAGGTAATTCTCAGTATTTCTGCATACAGCTGCTGCTAAATGGAAGGTGCATCCAGAGCATCAAGAAATCCCCCTTGAAGCCTGAGGCCATTGTGTTGCCCTTCTTCTTCCTCCAGTACTCTGAGAGAACAGTTAGCTAGAGGTTGGGGAAGTCCATCCATCCATCCATCCATTCGCTTCCGCTTATCCTTTTCAGGGGCGCTGGAGCCTATCCCAGCTGTCATAGGGCGAGAGGCGGGGTACACCCCGGAAAGGTCGCCAGTCTGTCGCAGGGCGGTTGGGGAGGTAAGATCTGTAAATCAATGCACACTTCAAACATATGTGAACAGTGAAATATGAAGTTAAATAAAACTTGTTTTTTTCTTGTCATATTTATCTTTATTAACGCTGACAGACAGGTATTGGTTCAGACAAACATGGTGGCATCAACTGAAAACAGAACCAGGCAGAGAAGGAAATCTGTTTCAGACCCGAGACGCACTCCGAGGTCAGATTGTCCCGCTCTCATCATTTGGCACCGCATGACTGTTAGTCTTTCAAACCACACGACTTCACTGTCTAATTTCAAGCCAAGGACTAATAGTTTTGTAAAGAAAAGGACAGAACTGCTCCAAAGTGCGGTAAATTTTGGCGATGCATGAAAATAGAAAAAACAAAGAAACAAAAACTAATTGCAAGGATTCTCATAGTGCTTTTGTTTCTTGTAATTTCACCCCCCACCCCACCACCATTTTTCTTCCAGTTTCTTAAAAGTTGCTGTGTGACACGCGTGATGTGAGCACAAGATTGCATCTGCTCTACATAGCAAGCATCTGTTCTTCTAGTTCTATAGAGGCTGGGTGTAAAGTGTTTAAGGATTGGCTACCAGTGGTTACAGCGCAGAACATGCCAGAGTTTTTAAGCTTTTCACCTTGAACATCAAAAACGGTCATTATGCAAACACAATCAGAAGCAACTTGACTTTGGGTCCTAGCATTTCAGTGCAATTTGGACTGAGGCTCATCAACCAAGGCGATCTGAAGGCAGAGATAACAGGAAGTACATGTGCAAACATCCATCCATCCAGTATATAAGGTCTGAACTGCAGGGTCAGCAGTTCAAGCAGAAGTACCTACACCTCCATCTCTCAACCATCTCCATCTTTTCAGGAGGGTCACTGAGGTGTTCCAATGGCAGCCAAGAGACGCAATCTCTCCAGTTCATCCAGAGTCTCCTCCTTTCCTCTTACAGATAAGTCATCTTATCTGTAAGAGGAGACCAGACGCCCATCGGAGGAAGCTGATGCTTGTATCCACTATCTCAATCTTTAGGTCACTGCCCACAGCTTGAGGTCACAGGTGATGGGGATAGATCCAACCAGTAAATTGACAACTTTGCTCCACGCTCAGCTTTCTCTTCACAGCAATAAGCTGGTACTACATCTGCATTACTGCAGACCCTTCACCAATCAATCTGTTAATCTCTGGCTCCACTTCTCCAGTCTTGAACAAGAACCGGTGATACCCAAGGCAGGACCTCATCCTCAATCAGGGGCAGGGCAATTCTCATCCTCGCAGAAAAGCACAACATTGTAAGCTAGAGGTTAACCACTTGACAAAGCCTAAAAGGACCACGTCACTTGTGAATTCCCAACGCCACCAAACCAAAACCAACACGGCCTTTAGCTACATCTAGAATATGTTGTCCATAAAGGACATGAACAGATGGAGAGGCTAACTGTCTGACTTTCGCAAACAGATCTAATTTGGACTAACCTGAGACACTTGTGAATGACCTATTAAGCAGTTTCTGTGTACTGGCTACTTAACACTGATTATAACCTCCACCAACAACAACAATCAGTTATGACTCCTTGAAATGTACAAAGTGATTAGACAAGAACCGTAATCCTTTACCTACAAGCAAGGCACTGAACCCTCTCACTTCAGAGGCCGCCTGTTGACGAAAATGGTTTTGAAGGTCATTCCCCGAAATATGAACTGGGGGCAAATGATGAGTTTATTATCAAAAATCAATCTGTAACAGCTCTTACATGGCGTAGTGCTACAATCAGTCAGTCTACCAATATGGCAGTTTGTCTGTAATCACTGGTATTATCTTTAAACTGATGAGGACAAGCTAATTTTGTTTTTTCCAACGTAGACACAGCGGATGGGGCGGGAAGGGTAACAAATGACAGTCAGCTACAGTTAGCAAACATCGGAAGGCTTTTTAGAGGCAAAAGCAGCAGGTTAACTTATAGGTCATAAAAGGCAAGCTGATCACTTCCTGTGTTTAGACATTAAAACCCAAAGTGACCAGGGTTCGATTTGGTGATACAACAGCTTTTGTACAGCTCACACTGTTTCAACACCGAGATGAAACTGTAATAAAAAATACTTAAGAAATAAAAATACTCAAGTGAGTTGCTTATGGCTGATTTTCATTCCTTTAAAACAAAAAATGCTCTTTCACCTTTGCTTCCATCTATTAAGACAACACTTTAAAACATACTGCAGGTTTGGAACAAATACTTGGTGTCTTTTTAGCAAAAGAAGAAGAATTCTTACATGAAAATAATCATACATTGTGATTTTGGAGTTACTCCTCCATGTTCATCAGCCAGACAGTACAAACACAAAAGATTATTTTCTGGTGGTTGAATGTCCTCATATTCCTGTTTGTTTCCACGTCCCCCGACAGTTCTCAAACAGAAACGTGCAAAAAGACTTAAAACTCTGCCCCCATGTCTCTCTAGATATCTGTTAATGCACAAATAACTGTAGGTCAAAGGTGAAGCACAGATTCAGATCAGTTTCAGCTCCAACAGAGTGGGTGTGAAGAACAAAGCCAGGCTGAGGCTGAAGGCAGGGGCAGATTGGTCTTAGCAAAACAAGCTTTTTTTTTTTTTTAAAGCAAATACCTCAGGAAAACATGCTTCTACCTAGCAAGTAAGCTGGAAATGCAACTTTTCATTTTCAAGCAGATAGCAGCTTTATCTAAATAGTCGTGATTTGTCAAAATTATTTTGGGTTTCAAAGAAACAACGATACGTTTTCAATGTAGCCATGCTATAAGCTTTGCGATGCTATACTCAGGCACAGCAGTGCTTCGAAATGCTAACACTGGCATACGAGCGTGATCGCAGGCCCAGCAGGGTAATGTTGAGCAGGCTTACCGTGTTCGTGAAATCCATTCAACACGTTAGCATGCTAACATTAGTGGAATTTAGAACCTTAATATTGATGAATTAACATTTATAACCGGCTGTTGGTGCAAAAGGGAAACTCGGTATGCTTCCTCTGGGCACTATGAACATCGGTACAATGGGCTTGAAGATAATGAGAGCAAAGTTGCAATGCAAATGGTACCATTCTCAGAACCAGGGTGCTAGTGTGGCTAAGGTTTGGGAAAAAGCTGTAGAGATTGGTTTTAACTTGTCAACCTCAAAACTGCTCCATTCATTATGAGTTAAGCTTAAGTAGCCTAATTAGATCTCGGGATTGTACTCCACTTGTGGTTTTTCAAGTAATGTGAGCTAATCAGAGCTTGCCAGCAAGCTCTACTGTCTTTACTCTCTCTACTATCTTGATTAACACAGGCGCTCATAACAACAGTTACCACGGGGAATGACAGCAGCAAAATACATAATCTACCAGTTCAGAATTTCATTTCACATGTAAAGGCCATCTTTCAGAGCACCATTTTGCCATTCACATGAATACAAGTTTCATATTTGAAACGGTCCACATTATAATTTTCACATAATTTTTTATAAACATAGAGCGTACAGTAACCAGTATCACAGGTTCAATCCTTGTCTAATTAGTCTATTCTCAGCAAATCAACCTTTTGATTCTGCTAATCTTAAAAAAGGTTGCAACTCATTACATTGATCTGACCAAAGAGGAGTTTGGGGAAAAGAAAAGAAATCATATTCAGGTAGATGGAGTTGACACATTGGTTACTGAATTCCTGAAGAAACACCTGACCTTTAATGGCTATAATAACACTTTTAAATTCAACCAGTTCAACTACGTCAGGCATGTATCGCTAACTTAAATTCATTTTCTATAGGTATAATACTGGCACTGGGACCCTCTACTTTTCTCCTAATGTAAGATATGTGGAGTGTGTTTACATGCACACAGTTTTCTGAATAACCCCGATGCTCATATCCATGTGACGGTCTTGTTACACAAACACTTCAGTGGCTACACTATCCTGTTATGCTAGCAGGCTTCACTAGCTAGTGAGGTGCTACTAGCTAGTGAGAATTGATAAATACTGATACAAATATCAATATAAAACAGAACTGGCAAAGACTCTGGCATCCTTGATAGTTCTAGTTTGTGATTTTGGGAAGTTAAATTAACATATTGCCAGCTAACAACTACTACTGTCAGTCGACACTTATAGCCTAACAAGCTAACCGACAGCCAAATGACATTAGCCAATACAGAACCACGGAGAAATGTCACTAACTTAGAACTAGTGACATTTGACTAGTCAGTATGTAATGTTCAAACAAAAGAAACTATTAAACTATTACAATAACACTTACAGAAACAGAAACCACTTCATAAAGGTAACTTTTAGCTAGTAAAGTTTAAGATTTTATGTTTTTTTTTAATGTTCAAATAAAATCTAATATTTGAGTGTCCAGTGTTTCACTATACTCCGTTTATATCATGTTAGTCAATTTATGATCTGGAAATTTAAGTCAGCCAATGAAGAAAAACAAAAACTGGGGGATCAATTGAAATTTTTTCAGTAGTAGTTTCCACTTACTTTTTATACTTGCTAGTTTTGGAAGAGAATTCGTGTGATAGTTCTGGGGGAAAAAACTGAAGTTAAATTCAAAGTTGTTTTTTTAGGGAGTCTTGGTGCATGCTCAATCATCCAGGTAAGTAAATCCCAAAAGGCTGATTCTGTTCACCTGTTTTTAGGGACAAAAAAAAAAAAAAAAGGCCCCCGTGGCCATACTAGTCTTCCATGCTAATAAAATAATAATAATAATTAAAATGAAAATTACATTTCATATGAGTCTTTAGTTAGGTATATAATTGCTTGGAAAAGTTTTACTGCGCAATATAGGAACATTATTATTGATGGGGATATTAGTGGCAGTAATAATAGTAAACTCCAATCTAAAAGTTAGTAATAATTGGACCTGCTTTTGGACAAATTATGAATTTATCTTTTTAGTAAATATCCAGTATATTGTTATAGGATTTTAAATGAGCAAATTCTCTAATCTTAGTGCTGTTTTCCACTTTGGATTTGACCTCAATTGCCAATTCAATGAATCAGTTTCTATCTGTAGTCATTCTCTGCTTCCATGACATGTTTGGACGATAGATTTTTTAATATTTTATGTATATGGTAGTAGCTAAGAGTGCGAGCTAAGAGTATATTCTAAAACGAGAAAGGAAGCCTTCCTACACGTGAGAATATAGTGCACGGCTGACCTGAAAGCAGGTTTGTGTGCATGTAAACCCACAGAGTATATAGTAAACACCAACAGATATACACAATTAGAAGTTCTACAAGCACAAATTAGACTATTCACACCCTGTTTGCCATTGATGCTGAGAGAAAAGAGATGAAACAGACTGAGGACTACTGAACCATTCCCTCCACAGTAAGGCGTCACCGCCTCACTCTTAGATTCCAGATCCATCTAATTGCTTAAGCCACTTTAACACTTTTAAATAAATGTATAGAATATATACAAACATTACGCCACGTAGTTCAGACCTGAAACGCACACTTCTTCTTTACTAATACCACCGTTTGCAGAGAGTTAGGTCAGAAAAAAGAAAGCAAAAAGCTGGGCTTTGACAGTTTTGAAACACGGAGGCCATCTTGCTCCATAGTTTTTATTACTTCGCTAATGGGCGGTGCGGTGGCCATCAGAGTTTTGTCGAGTCTTACTACCGAGGTTCCACTTCTTGAAAGGTGTCGTGTCTCTAAAAATAAGGTCACCGCTTCTCCTGGTAGTTTCAGATGAAAACGAGCATCGCCACGGGCAGAGAACACGCTCGTCCTCTTCTCTCAAAGGTCGTATAACAGCAGTCCTTTTGTCCCTTTTGCTCTGCTTCATTCCCTCTGTCGCTCTATAAAGCACTTTGTGACGAGCCTGGTTATTAAAAGCGCCTTTTGTTTTTAATAAATCGGATTTATTCACAGAACCTGGGTAAGATGCTGCTAAAGAGAGGAGAAAACACATCGTCTACAAACTGAGTTGCTGAATATGGTTTCCGGGTTGAATGCCAAGCCAGTTGCCAGGAAGACACAAAAGGAGGATTCTGGATATGACAGAAGGTGCATTCTGGGATTTGTTGTTGACTGACGGAGCACTAAGCCACTGGCAGATGCCACATGAGAGGTCCTCTCTTCTACTTGCTGGGATTTTTTCCCTCCTCTGCTACCTGTCCGTTGCAGTGAATGGTTGATTGGAATAAATTACAGCCCCCCTGCGGTAGGATGATGGGGGAGGATGGGGGAGCTCCTCCTCCTTCAGTCGCAGACAGGAGGCAGGAAGTAGCAGCAGTCTAGGAGGGATTGGGGGTCTTCAAGGCATCCACTTTGGTCTCCAAGTCTGTAATCTGTGGAAAACATAGTGGATGATAACTTCAAGAAATATAACATTAAACCTTTTATGAAAAGTGTTAAAGAAACACTTAATTGAAGCAGAGCATCAAGTGAACAAAACCTGTGGGACGATAATCTGCAGCTTGATCATTTCCCTCTGTAGCAGCATAGACTGAGATCAGACGTGTTCCTTTAACTTGTTTGAGCAGTGTACTAAAACATAATGCAGGGACACTGCCATCAAGATGTGACCCTCCTTTGCCTTTCCTGCTCGGGAAAAGCTCTGCTACCTGACAGTGAGAGATTCAGGTGAGTCCACTGCGAACCTTTTCCTGCAGGTTGTCTGTCTCCTCTTTGTGTGTTGCCTCGCTCTCCTCTTGTGCCCGACGCTGAGCAGTCTCTTTCTTCAGGTACTCGATCTCCCTAAAATGCACACGCGCACACACACACACACACACACACACACACACACGCACGCACACACACACACACATTGGAGTGGTGGTGTTTTTTTACTCCTTTTATCTTTTTATTCTGTCCCTCCTTCTCCTTCCTTACTTCTGCTGGTATTCTTTGATCAGCCTCTTGGCTTTGCTGTATTTCCTCTCCAGGGTTTGATACTGAGCCTGAGTTTCCTTCAGGTGTTCATCCACAGCCTGAAAAGACAAATACTCGCTGTGAGTAAATGATAACAAAACTAGTTTTAGGGTGGCAGTGAGCTCATTTTTTTAGTTTTTAAGGGATGAGGGGAAAAAAGAAACACTTGATTCACTCGTGCCTTTTTGAAGTTTAGGTTTACTATCTTACCTTACATAGAGACTGTGCCTCCATCCAGTAGCCCTCAAGTTTTTCCATCCTCTCTTTACTGTCCCGGATATTTTGCTCCAACTGAGCACGCTCCATCCGCCAACGCAACTTATCCTGCTCTGCGTGAGCCAGCTGGAGGCGGGGTGGGGGTCAGTGTGGGAGGAGGAGGTGGTATGTGGGAGGCATTAAGTCATCATAGAGCCAAAAAGAACTGGTGTTATGCATGTGTACATTCTCTTCTGCAGTGCAACCTGAATGTGCCGTTGTTTTGAGGGTTTTTTGCCTGCATGTGTATAAGTGTGTGTTAAACAGGCTCACCTTCCTCTTGAGCAGCTGGATCTCAGCCTGGGTTACTGCATGTTTAATCTGGAGCTGCAGACAGAGGGAGAAGCAATCTGATTTCTTTAACAAACAAATAAACATAACAAAAATCAAGCTAGGTAAAACTGTAAACAAGACTGAATAAAATAATGACATTAACATCCAAATCATTTATATCACATGTACCTCTTTGAACTTGTGGGCCAGTTTCTCTGGGTCCAGCTCCACAGGCGACAGCATTTCCTGGTTTTCTGCCAGATCGAAAACCTCTATCGAGTTCGGAAACATCGGACTCATCTCCTCCTCCTCGTCTGTCGCATATTCACCTGTCTGCAGGTAAACACACGCGCAACAAATACAGTTACATTTGGTAATAGTTGTGATATTTTATACATATTGTATGAGTAGGTTTTACAGGTATCAGGTTACATAGCAGACCAATGATTGCATCCGATATGGAGCTGGAGTACCTGGTTAGTATAGATCAGGGGTCCCCAATCCCAGTCCACCAGGGCCGGTGTCCCTGCAGGTTTTATATGTGTCCTTGATCCATCACAGCTGATTTAAATGGATAAATTAGCTCCTCAACATGTCCTGAAGTTCTCCAGAGGCCTGGTAATGAACTAATCATGTGATTCAGGTGTGTTGACCCAGGGTGAGATCTAAAACCTGCAGGACACCGGCCCTCGTGGACTGGGATTGGGGACCCCTGGTATAGATGGTATAAAAGACTGACTTCCAGGTTTGTGCTTCATTAGTTTCCAGGGCCCTATTTCAGGAAGCCGGTTTAGTGCAAACTCTGAGTAAGTATACCCTGAGTTAACGAAAACTCTGGGTTTAGATTAATTCTGAGTGAGTTACTATGACGACACACTCCGTGAAGCTAACCTGCCCCCTAGCAGGTTTACTTCAACTAACCCTGACATTCTCCGCCTCTTTGTCAGAAACCTGACTGTAGGAAGTGTCAGACATGGCGTGCCCCTTCCTTGAAGAGCCAGTAGATGTTGAAGCCCAAATTCTCCGCAGAGCTCTCCGCCGGGAGAGAGTGATCAGAGCGCGTTTGGACATTTTATCATTGCCTGATGATTTCCTGTGTGAACGTCACCGTTTTTCAGCACAATCTATAATTTATTTGAATAACATCCTCAGGCCATATATTACGCATGTGACACATCGCGGACATCCTCTCAGTTCTGTACATATTATTTGTATTGCACTTCGGTTTTTTGCAAACGGGAGCTTTCTGTATAATATTGGTGATGCTGAGCACGTTCCCAAGGCAGTCAGGAATGTTACAGTTGCACTGAAACGTCTCCTGTACTCGTTTGTGGTGTTCCCCGGTCATAGACCCACAAGATTTATCAAAGAGGGATGCCACAAAATTGCAGGTAGCAGGATGAACAAAACTTAATCCATGATGTGGTGATACTTGAACTACTACTTACATTTTACATTTATTTTCACGGTTCCCAGGCGTGATTGGCTGTATAGATGGCACTCACATTCCAATCATTGCTCCTTCAGTAAATGAAGGAGACTATGTGAACAGGAAGTCTTTCCACAGTATTAATGTGCAGGTACATAGTTCCCTGTAGCATTTCAAACTAACAAATCATTTCATTATAGTAATGGATGCTAATTTGTGTTCTCTGCACTGTGAAGATCATATGTGATGCTGCCAACATTATCACAAATGTGGAAGCCAAGTGGCCAGCCTCTGTGAGTGGTGGTGGTGGAGGACCCCCACCTGTTTTTCGGGCCTCTGCTGTTTTTTCCTGTTGGCTATAACGGGTCACATTTGATCATACAGAGTAAGCAAATATGTACTTGTAATGTGCTCAGATAATTTCAATAAGTGCTTACAGAAAGAAAATTAATGTAGCCTCTAACTGCAATTGATTTACATCGGACAAACAGACCAAGCACTATGGCTCATAGTACAATTACACCTTACCTGTTCGGACTATATTTTTATATTTCATTTTTACTTGCTGTCAGGAACGTTTGGGGCCTGTTGGGTTGCACCTGCGCTCACATCACATCACAAAATCAAATGTATAAAATAAAAAATAAAATAAAATATAATAAAATAACGTGTTAAATGGGTGGAAATCCCTAGATCAATGTTTATATTAACACTCACGCATTGACTCTGTCGGCTATGTTTTGCCATGCATGCTCCCTTTCTTTTGCAGCTGAGGCTGTGTTACTTTTTTTCCGCAAAATTTGCATGTTATCGGCATATGCTGCCATCAGAATTTCGGCCTCAAGCGCTGTAAAATACATTGACCGCGCCTTCTTTCCCTCCGTCTCCATGGTGACTCGCTTAATCTGTGCTCCGTTTATCAGGGCTTTATGTATCCTCGTGCGCGCTTAACTTGGGGTTAAAGCAACTCCGCGTTGACTGAACTAATTGTTATCAGCCTTTCTGAAACCGAATATTCCGAGTTGGACAGTTCGGGGTTACTCAACCCTGAGTATCGTTTTTAACTCTGAGTTTTCTAAACCGGCTTCCTGAAATAGGGCCCAGTCCATCTCTATCTTGGTTTGAAAGGAAAAACAAAACAACAACAACAAAAACACCAGAAAGAGGAGGGTTGGGTCTGAACCCGCCGGCTCACTGCCGGACGCTTGTCAATCTCCAGGTTTTTAGCCAAAGAGCAAATCAACGGAAAATCCAATGGAAAAATAGTTTTACCAAAATAGACTAAATGTTTTATTCAGTATGACCCAAAACAAGTAGCTAACCAGGAAACTGTCTGCAGTCAGGTCAGAAAGCCTTTTCCATGCTCCCAAAATCTTTTTGCAATCAGAGCAATCGGCATCTGGTGGCGTTCAGATCTAATGCAGGCTTACAGCACCACCACATTTAGTTGGTTTTTCAATGCTCATGTTTGATACACTATACACTGTCCCTTTGGGTTTAGGAGTTCAGTTGCGATCGTTTGAAGTCAAAAGTCCATTTGGTAAGTTTTGGTCATTCCAAGAGTCAAAAAGGACTCTTGGCTAGGCTAAGCTCATGCATGTGGTTTCACAGTTTGGTGGCTTATACTCTTTAAGCTAGTTAGCTTAAAACAGTCTTATGCTACTTAGTGCAAAGCCAGGTTGCTTTGGTAGACAAAAGGTATCTCAGTCACCTACCAACATCTCCAAAGGTAACCGTTACAAAAAAACTCTAAACATGATTAGTGAATTTTATTTTTTATTTATTTTTCAAACAGAACTTAGTCATTTGTTAGATGTTAGCTAGTTGCTGGCATTAGCTTTACACTCATAGCACTGTGTGGTACATTTCAGTCGTCTGTCTCTTCATAATCTAATTGGCGGGAGTACCCGTCATATAAAATGATATAAATGGCAACTAGGTCAAGTATGCAGTCACAAATTAAGTGAAAGAAACGATCTGGTCAGTGGTTTGACAGTTCAGACTCATTCCCTTGGAACAAAAAGCAGCCAGCACATCGTCTTCCACTAAAAGCATTCACATAATCGATAACAGCCTGCTGATCATTCGTCTTATTCTTCTTTGTGTTACAAAGTAAATTAGCCTCACATTAGCCCGTGTCCAGCATGTTTTCTTCCAGGCTAACAAACGCATTAACTAAAATGTATTACTTAATACATGATTGCTTTGCACAATGACTGCACCGTGTCTTCCTCTCTGCTTACTCTTCCTACTCGGACACAATTTGAGGTAAATACTGTAAAGTAACTGTATTTATTACAAGACTGCAGCAAACCAGAGCGCACGCTGCCGTCCATATCAACATCCTCTGATAACTGCAGCTGTGCTCTGTGGCTTCTCTGGCTAACCAAACCAAAGTACACAAGCCTTGAGTTGACATTTGCCCCCAGGCATGAAATCAGAGCTCTTTCATTTTAGGCTGTAGAGTGATGAAATGTTAGGAGTCTATCATTAGAATCCTGAATCGATTTTTAAATGTAAATTTATTTTGCCCGACATGCCAGAATCTCAGGTTAAACCTCACAAAATTTCGACAACAACCAAACAGCAAACCAGAGCAGGTACACGCACAAAGACGTAAACACAACGCGCCGACGCATCACAGATGTCTGCTTTCTCAGCCGTCAGCGCACAGATTCTGATGCGTCGGCGGGTCCGTGCTTTGTGTTTACGTCTTTTTGGCGCTAGACTCCGAAGCTGCAGGTTTCAATACTCTACAACCAAAAACGACTGAAGATCAAACTAAGCTTCACATCATCATCGTCATGAATTTCCTCTTTTGCTGTTTTGCTTCCACCACAATAAAATCACACTTCATGCACAGCTCTCTCTCTCTACTGTTGTGTACAGCGCTGTCTGCTGCTGGTTTTATTTTTTTAAATTTAACTGATTTCCGACAAGAAAGTCTCGTTTCTGCTGTTCAATACTGAAGAAATGTAAACTTTTTAAAATGATGCCAAATTGCAAAATGCTCAGCTGTGTCTCTAATTAATCCTCTGCTTCACTTCAGCAGCATCAGGTGATGTTTATATGTTGATTCATGCTACTGCACAATATTTTTAAGGTTCTCTGCTATAAAAACCCAATAACATGTTTTTCTGTGTTTTATGCTCAGTTACTTTGACACTAAAGCATCTGCTGTGATGCTCACACCTTTGACAAAGTCTCATAAGTCTCAGCTTTCTTTTATAGCTATAAAAATATGGATATGTGCCGATAAATGACCAGAATTATAATATTTCTGACTGTCTGAGGCAAAATTTCCCCGATTCGAATCGAATCAGGACCTTGTGAATCGGAATTGAGATGATTCTGGAAATCAGTGACGATACCCAGCCTACAAGCCACACTCTGTCCCATGAGCCATGTGTAGGAAACAGCCTGGTCCCACTGTTTTAATTATGAAACCTGACCCTAGAAACTAGGAATTTAATGATTTCTGTATTGATGCAGTTTCTCTCTCTGACCAGACGGTGGAGATGCTGGACTGAGTTTGAAATGGCATGTGGTGGAGCACAGACAGGCATTTTCCCATGTACACATGTTGGATTTCCTGTGGCTAACAACCACTAACACCATCAAAAGGCTTGTGAAAATGAATTTAATGACTACATGCAGGATATCTTTGTGAAGTAGAGCAATGTTGCCTTCCAAATGCAGGCCAGAGTGCGTTTGGATTCTGTGTTTACTGACTAAAAACAACGACTTTTTCATTATTTTTGACTATTTCAAAGGACAAAGGAGGTGCAGTGAGGAGAACTGACTGTGTTTATCACCCTCTCAAGCTGAGAGCGCTGCTGCTGCAATGTGTCACATGGCATGTGTCAAGAACCGCCCCTCAGCAGCGCATCAACAGGGCAGGACAATGAAATGTCACGGGGGAGTTGCCTACTGAGCTATGTCTGCGCGGCATGCACCCAGCCAACGTTGGTGTGGTAGCTGTGCCTCGAAAATGATATCAGTGGCTGTTCTTTTCCCTCCCACACGACAGAGAGGTGTAGCATGTACCTCCTCATCATCATCCATGTACTGTTTGTATCTCTGCTCCATCATCTCTCTCTGCCACCTCTCCTGTTCCAGAGTCTGCTGGATCAGCTGAGCCACTTCACTCTGTTCCCCCGGCTTCTCCCGGCCAATCACAAACCTAGAAAACAAAACCAAAAACTTAGGATTTGTCATTCGCAAGAAAAGGAAACAATGAAACATTTTACACAAACTGCATATGTGGAAAACATGAAAAAATTCACTGTATCAACATCAAACCTGAAAAACTCCAGAGCTTCAAAACACACCAACTAAAAAAAAAAAGTAATAATATGCAATTTATACCACTAATGGACAAAAAGAGCTTCCATAATGTGAAATGTGTTTCAAAAATGGAGATGTGGGGACCACACGTTGGAGTGTTACTCTACCTGTGGGGACCAGCAGCCCTTATGGGGACAAAATGTGGTTTTAGCGTCACGATTGCAATGAGGTTATGTTAGGATTAGACACTCATTCTTGATGGTTAGGGGAAGCAGCTACAGGAAGCATTATGTCCTCACAAAGATATGAAAACACAACTGTGTGCGTGTTTAGAGTGAGTGCGACACAGACCTGACTTTGCCGGTGGTATTGCGGAGGACAGTGGCAGCAAAGCTCTGAGTAACACCAACCAGGCTGGTCCCATCAACCTCCACTATGAGGTCATTCACCTGGATCCTACAGACACAAAGAGAACACTGTATGCAGAGCGATGTTTGGAGAAGACCAAGGTCGCTCAGTGAACACACCTCTCACATGCAACGACAAATGTAACTATGAGTGTCTTTGACCAGACAGGCCTGTGGACTAGCACTGGCTCCATGTAACATCCTAGCCTGTGGCATTTTATGCTTTTGCCTGTTTATTTTAAACTGGTGTCTCTAACAAAGAGCTTTAAAAACTTGCACTCACACTAATGAGAAGAAGGTAACAGTAGTGAGCAACTATCAGCTAAAGAATCAAGTTTGCAAAGAAATACATTTAAGGCAAAAGTGTACATTTAGCTAATAATCAATAATCATGCCTGCTGTCCAAAGAAAAATAGTGTTAAGCCTACAAAAAAGGGCCAACTATTGCTTTTTGATAAAGCACATAGTTAGTGTTGGATCATGTGACCTTGACTCGTCCCTTATGCTGCATTAGGTCTAGGCCGCCCCTCCCTGAGCCTGGTTCTGCTGGAGGTTTCTTCCTGTTCAAAGGGAGTTTTTCCTTCCCACTGTCTCATAGAGGTCATATGATTGTTGGGTTTTCTCTGTTCTCTTTGATTTACTGCAGGCTCTTTACCTTACGATATAAAGCACCTTGAGACAGCTGTTGCTGTGATTTCGAGCTATATAAATAAAACTGAAAGAATGAAAAATGCATGTCGGGGCAGGCAGGTTGAAGAAGGTACCTGCCGTCTCTCTGCGCAGCTCCGCCCTCAGTGACCGTCTTAACAAAGATCCCCAGCTTCTCCAGGCCCATATCAGCTCCTGCACCCATACCAATGATACTGATACCGAGGCCGTCACTGTCTGAAAGACACACAGACAACAGAGCCATATCTCAGTGCTGAAAATTAAAACATAAATACATCATTACTGTTAATTAGAATCCTGTCATATTTATTTTGCTATCATAATAACTAATCATATTATAGAGTGACGGAAAAAAGCATGTGGGATTTATCCACATTCAAGCTATTAAATATTAGTGAAATTATAGCTATTATACAGTGCTGAGAGCAGCCGTCACGCATGGTTGCTGGTTCAAATCCATTACCTTCAGAGTTACTGGCTACTAATTAGGCCAATCTGTGCTAAATTTAATCCCATAAGGGGATAATGGAGCTGTTAGAGCGACAGTGTATGTCCACTAACTGCAGCCTCTTGTGTGAGTGTGTACAGTTACATAAGAGGCTTGACTGAGTGACTCTCGGTGACATGTAAGACGCGTGCAAACCTTTCTCCAGCTCGACGGGAAACAGGTCCAACTTTTCGACCCTCTTCTCCAGCTCGTACTCAGCTGACGCTGCCATGGGGTCAACGTCATCATTACGTCGGTCGTAATCTTCATTAGAGTAGGTGGTAAAGACCTATGCAGAGGGCAAACGATCAGATAGCTAATCCAAATGCATCTAACTGAGAGGGCTAAGTGTAAAAACAGAGGCACTCGGAAAGTTCCCTGAGGAACTCCTACATGAAAGCCTCATAAGCTCACAGTGACTGGTGAAGGTTTGATGCTGATGTGCTACACACGTCTTTTTGCATGTTCAGGTATATGTCCCAATCATTTTTCATACAAAAATTGAAATATTTAACCTTAAACATCATCAATCAAACTGTATCTGCCATTTGAAAAAGGTCTTTTTCAATCAACTGTTTGGGGATATTTTGCTCACGTTGTAGACAAGAACGAAGATGGCTACGACGTTAGCAACACCTGTTCAACCTCTTGTTAAACAGAATATCTAATCAGGAACTTTGTGCACTGAGGTATGGTTAAGAAGACCAAGCATAAGACTGGGGATTTTCTTTCTCTCCAATTATTCTTCTTTGGACAGGAGCTGTAGAGAATAGAAAGGAAACAAGGGAAGGCACAAAGAAGCTGTAGCTGTGCCCAAAAGAAAGAGGAGTCTGAACATATTGTTGTTGACAGGTTGGTATGAGTATTTCACAAACTGCTGTTCAGACAACACAACACTGGATTTCCCCACACCACCATCTGCAGGGTTTACAGTTGATATCCAGTGAGCAGCAGTTCTCTGGGGAAACACTTTACGGTCTACTCTTCACTGCAAGGCTGTCAAATAAAGGTTAAAAAAGCTTATTTTTAACATGTTGCCTTGTGTGATGAGTCTCATTTTCTCTTACTCTCAGAAGTCAGAATTTGCCATAAACAGCATCAAAGCATGGACCCACTGTATGCCTTGTATCACTGGATAAGGCCACTGGTGGTGTAATGGTGTGAGGAATATTTTAATGGTACATTTTGTGCCCGTGAGTACCAACTGAGCATCATTTTAACACCACAGCAGTATTGTTATTGACCATGTGCATCCCTTTATGACCACAGCGTATCCATATTCCAACAGGATATTGTCCCATGTCACAAAACTCAAATCATCTCACACCAACACACTGCACTCAAATGGCCTGTAGGTCGTAAATCAATAGAGCACCTTTGGATGTGTAGGCAACAAATCTGCAGCAACTGTGTGATGCTGTCACGTCGATATGAACTACAGTCTCTGAGGAATGTTTCCAGCGCCTTGTTGAATCTATGCAATGGATAATTAAGGCAGTTATGAAGGGAAAAGTGGTTCATCCTGTAAGGTGCACCTAATTCAATATTTTAGACACTTCTTAGTTGCAAAACAATTGATTAATTAATTAAAAATCACAAATTAAGAATGTATATATTTAGTGTGTATACTATTATTCTTGTATTATTATTAGATTATACATATGTCTCATCATACAGCAACATTTGAGGCCACTTAAAGTTGTTCTTCCCGTCCACACAGTGAATAAGCTCTATATGCATTTACCTCTGGCTTCATCTTGATCAACTCCTAAGAGAAACTTAAAGCTCTCCAATGGGAGCAGACGAGAACGGTGAGAGTCAATCAAAAGGTGCAAGGACACACACCAGAACTAATGAGCTGAGGGGAGCTGGAGAGCCTCATAATAAACCTCCGTCTCAACACTTTTTCCATCTCCAACTCTGATCCAGTGCTGCTTTGAAAAAGGTGCAGCTTTAGCTCTTTTTATTCTAGAGCCATAAGGTTACAAACACTGCACACAGACCAGGACATGCAGGAGGACGCTGGGTCTCGCTGTGGCTTGGTTTTGACAGGTGGCATGTTTGCATGCTAGGGAAGTACGCTTCTACATACTTCCCTTGTTTTTAACTGATGCATTAGATCTTCACTGCACATCATTAGCCTGCGATACTGGGCGAAGCATCCAGAAATATTATCTCACAATAACCATTTACATCTATTGTGGCTTTAGACACAGTCCGTACACTCTCACTGTACTGTGCTCCATATCTTTCTACTGAAGCCCATCCAAACCACCCCACACCCCCCTGTTAAAAAAGGTCAGCAGCATCTGTCTCCCTGGTGACCACCTCTGTGATCACGTGGCTTCATTTCCATGGCAACCTCAGGCTTGCCCAGCGGGATTTTGGCACTGATATGCTCTCTCTCACTGTCCCTGTCTGGTAGATATGCTAATGTGTGTGTGTGTGTGTGTGTGTGTGTGTGTGTGTGTGTGTGTGTGTGTGTGTGTACACACAGACCCATAGGCCTTTATGTAACAGTATTATTACATTCCCTCGAGCGTAGGAGGTACACACACAAATACTGTGACACAAACAGGGTCGGAGGGCGGGATTGTAAGACTGCTTCCTGTTGTCACGCTTCCTTCCTGTCGAGTAACTTTAAAGCTTAGTTAGCGTGTGTGTCTGTGCGTACATGAAGCTTTAGGGTGTTCCTTTAAGATGTCAGAAACACAATCTCTACTGTTCCTCAGGAAAACAAACACACAAACAAAGAAAGATAAAACAGCAGGTAGAACATAAACAAAATAACAAAAAAAGTAAAGTGCACCCAACGACAGGAACAAGGTCGCCTCTAAAGTCTGTAACCCTGCAGAAGTACTCTGAACTGAAAAGCTGACCCTTAAAGTTAACATGCACCTGTAACCTAGATTCATGGGAGTAAACAACCTAGACTCAGTCCAGCGTTACTTGTACAGCGCCAAAGGTAAACAATAAGAGAGAGAAAACTAACAGGAGAAAGCATCTGCTGACAGCGGGAAAGAAACTGTCAGAACCAGGGAGGGGCGGGGCCATCAGCCGTGACCAGAACATAACAGCAATGATAGAAAAGTTTCTACAGAAGATCAATACACGTTCCAATATTACAACAGGTGCCTTAAAATAAAAGTCAAAATTGCCACAAAACTAAACAGCAAACACGGTTTAAGATAAATTGGCTTCTTCAGCAGTTTAGTAATATATTAACTTAAGATTAAGGTGTGGTTGTTGGGAGAAGCATTAGAGTCCTAATTTAGGCCCACTCTGAAGAAGAACCCCATAATGTAACATGACAGGGATTTTCATCCACTCACGCCATCTCTCTGAAATTTATGGTCTCAGATTTCAGGCTGAGATAAACCTAATGACATCATTATGACTTAATCTGGGCTATTCTTCCTCCTCCAGTCCAGAACATTTCCACAGTACTGATTGTGGTACTACATAGTATTTAAACAGTGAGTAAAACCAATGGAGGTTACGCACTTAAACGTGAGTTACAGTCCAATCCATACTCACAATCTCCTTAATGTATTTCAATGAAGTTTGTTACTTTACTAATCTATATTGATTTTTTAACACAGGATCAATACGTTCAATGTTACTCTCTTGAAATAGGTAAACATATGCTGGTAGTTTGTTCACTTTGCATAATCATAATAAACCCTTGGTATCAGGCTCTTTACTGATTTGAGCAGCTAGCTGCCGGGTCAGCTAAGAGGCTCCGTCCTGTTATAACAGTATCCACTTTAAAGCTCCACTGGGTTTGGCAGCGTGGCTCACAGACTCTGCTGCAGAGTCCCAGAGAAACAAACACCGACAAATATTAAAATGTTCATTTAAACTTGGGCAACTTGGTGTATTTGAACATTTTTACTTCAAAAAGAGAAGTCACTCTGTAATGATGACTGTTGATGACAAGAATCAAATCGAACCTGCAGACCGCTTCACAATTGTGTATTAAGACCTCGTCTTTTGTCAGTTTGAATGAATAACCAGTATTCGCGTCTTTGGGAACAAGTGAAGCTCATACAGATCAGCTCAGCCCTTCAGTGAATATGATGTGAAAACAATACATGTCTTTCTTTCGACTGACAATGCTGTGAATGGAAGCCTCAGCAGAACCGGGCCAGTCAGAAGCTACAAACTTACTACACGCTGGATAAAAGCCAAGCCACCGAGAAGTCCCCGGGGACCAGCCCGGGCCTCCAACACAGCCGCCATGACAGGGCTGTGTAGCCTCTCTGTAGCTTACAGCAGTAGGCTTTGTCTCCAACGTCACGTGAAGTTTAAACCAATCAGAGGTGCCCCACAAAACTCGTGAAACTACACAAAAAGCTGGAATGAAGGATTGATTTAAAGCCCGTCAGATCCAAACTGGTGCCAATATTTTGCAATTAAAAATCTCATGTAACTATATCTGATGGTTATATCTGAAAAGATCCTCGTTTAATTTCCTATTTCATTTCAAATTCTTTGCTCAGATCAGCAAATAGCTGACATGGTCCAATATATCGGCCGGGCTCAGTGTGGATGGATGGATATACGAGGCCGTTCTTTACTGATATTAAACATTTAATTTTACTTATTCAATTAAAAATACCCTACAAGTAATAAGTTAAATAAAAATGTAATAAATTTTTTTTAAGTAAAAAATAAAAGCAATAAGTAAAGCTTTGGGGCGTTCACTTGACATGAGCTACATACATGTTGTTAGATCTCTATAAGCAGCAGGCAGATAATGTCGCGTAGTATAAACACTGGAAACAGGAGGAAGCAGCTAGCTTGTTTGTGGGTCAGGCTAACATTGGTTAGCACCCGTCGGTTTTTGTTTACCTACTGTAGAGGTTTTTAAAGTCGTATTAATCATGTAAACATGCTTCTTCTTTTTTTTTAGCCAAAACGCAAACAAGCACATCCTGATATTTTGAGTTTTTTGCAGTCATGCTGAAATGTATCGATTTATACTGGTATACTGGTGTACTGGTGAACTGGTGAATCACCTCATACTTTATCAGAGACTTCCTAGTTCTGGTTTCTGATACGTGAGCATCAGCTCCTTTTTAAAAAACGAGTTTTCCATGTGATAACAAGCTAAACAGTGTTTATACAGAGAAAACTCGCCTTTGCCACTGTAAAATGTCAGCGTAATTATAAACGTGTGGGTGTTCTCAGTTTGTTTGTATTCTCCTGCAGGTCTGCCTGTCTCAGCCTGTCTTTAAAACCAGTATTTTCCGAAGGCCTGTGTAAGCAGGAGGTCAGTCACAGTGT